AAAAAGAAAAGCCTGGTATTTTTACGTCGTCCTTCTGGAATGCGTCGGTATGCTGGTTTTTCAATGACTTTTGTTGAAAGCCAAACTCGTTGTTGATGGCGATCTATTTTCTAGAAACTCTCATAAATTTTTTCACGGGTGCGAAAAGGGAAGTTTTCCATGCATTTGTATTTACAGGAGCACGAAAAATCTTGTTTTTATTGGGTGATTTTGTTTATTATTTTTCATTTTGCGGTATCTTTTTTTCCTAACTACTGCTGATTGACCACTTTACCTTTCCAGTAGCTTTTCGTAATATAAATATTGTTCTTGAAGTAATTTTTTATCGCCAATATTCACCAAAACCTCAGAGAATAGGTACACATACAACAACACTGACCTTGCCGTTAAGAAAGGCATCTGGCAACTAAAATGTTTACGCTAAACTCAGGTCAAGACATGTATCAAACTATAACAGTTGGAATTGTTGAAATTTAAACGTATTTAAAAAGTGGTAAAAACGTGTATAGCTATTATACATTTTTTTCACAATGCAAAGATTTTAATTGTCTATTAACCATACAATGAAACAACAACGTAAGAAGTTGATAAAGTATTTTTTTATTGTATTACATTTGTCTATTGTCACTCTAAAAAATATACTTTAACTGTATCAGATCATACGTTTTTCTTCCATTGAAAAGTTAAGTATTTTTTTGCTTTAAAATGTGTATAGCTTATATACGTCGTTTTACCAAAGTATTATAAGCACAAAAAGTGAAGTTACGTCCTTTTATCATTGTACTGCATTTATTGAAATAACGATACGACTTAAACCAACGGCAATTATACCGTTAAAAAGAGCGTAAAAGTTTATGTCAATGTAACCTATAAAAAAAAATCGAAATTTGCTTATAAGGCTTTTTACCATTGCAGGGCAGTATATTTTTTGCTTTTCTTCTCTGTACCGTTTTATTTTTTGTGGCGTAGGACGAAACAATTTCATTTTTGTCTAAAAGCAAACTATTTTATCCTCGAGTTTTAAATTTAAAATTAAGGGTTTTGAAAAGCTTGTAAAATATAGCTCGATTAAAAGTAGACAAATATGGATCATCGTTGACTTCTTATAAAACCTTATCAATTGTTGGAAGTTAATTTCTAAAGAAGAATTGATGTACTTTGCGTCTTATTGCATTTTTATCAAAATCATCCACAGAGCCACTAATTTGTTCATAACGTAGCTTTCTTTTTGGTTCAGAAAATTTATGAATCTGCCTATACTCCTTCATAACATTAAAAACGGTTTTAGCGCACATCCCTGTTTTATCAGCAACTCTCCTTTCCACATCATGTACCAACATATCAGGGTTCTATAAAATTTAATGCTTATAAATATTAAGAACCATTTCTTTAGTACGGATGACCAAATGTCCCTTTTTCAGTCGCTTTTTAAAAGGAGTAAAAATATTTTTCTGCTGTATCTGTGGAGGACATAGTGTCACGCAGCAATTACAAAATATAGTCAATTAAATGTCCATAAAATAGAGTAAAACATGTTCAAACTAACAACCACAAAAACAAAAAAAATAAATAACACAATATATGTATATCCAAACTATAATATAATGAATTATAATCAACCAAACATACAAAATGTCCAAACTAACCAACATGGTGAATGCCACCAAAACGCCGTTTATAATTATCAAAATTGAACTGAATTCGACTCTGACAAAAAATATTTGCGCGTCGTCTAAATGACTAACGGCCGATTAACCAATAGAAGCGCAGAAAAATGTCACGTGAGCTGTTGCTAGATGGGAGAAATTGTTTTGACGCGGCGTAAATGAAATCTGAATAGACTTTAGTTCCGATCGTGTCACAAAGTTGATTTTTGAAGTTATGATTTATTTTAATTTTTCCAAGATTTCATCCGTTTTTCTTCATTTTTTTTTATTCGTATGATGCCGTATATTTAGGAAGGCTTTATTTATTGTACTAGTTCCAATCGTGATTTAAAGCTGATTTTTGTAGTTCCGATTTATTATAATTTTTTCAAACATTCTTCGTTTTTATTCTTTATTTTTTATTAGTATGACGCCGTATATTTGGAAAGTTAAAATTTTACTGTAAATAGCGACAATAATTTATTGTACTAGTTCCGATCGGGTCACAAAGTTGATTTTTGAAGTTATAATTTATTTTAATTTTTCCAAGATTACATCTTTTTTTTTTAATTTTTTTATTCGTATGACGCCGTATATTTGGGAAGTTGAATTTTTTTTTTGTAAATAGTAAGACAATGGCTTTATTTATTGTACTAGTTTCGATCGTGTAATAAAGCTGATTTTTGTCATAATATATTACAAAAATATTAAACGCATTAAACGTGTGTATGAAACAGAAATTCAATCTAGCTCGTAAGTTGGAAAATTAAAATTCCGAGAAATTGGCAATTTTTCAGTATATCATACAAATACGATAAATATGGTACGTCTTGCAACACTGCTATCGCTGTTGACATGATTTTTTATAATTTTAGTCGGGTGACATGCTAATTTTCTCATAGTTGGAGAATATGCTCTTGTAAATTCTTTTTCAATCACTTTATTTTAATTCACTTTATATAACTATGTAATTACTTTGTAATTTCTTGAAATAAATTAGTAGATGAGTGTATTATCATTATCATTCAAGCTCCAACGAATTTCAAAACTCGAATAAACTTTCAACCTAAGTGCAAGCTTGTTACATAGTAAAATATCAAGAGACTTAAACTTGATCATGATTTCGTTCGTTTTAACTCGCATATATGCGTCAAATATAGCGTTTCCATAATTTCTTCAGCTTCTATCGAAACAAAAACCATTTTTAAACTTAAAAAAAAGTTTTTGAGAAATTCAAATTTGTAAGAAAAAACGTTTAATGCATGAAAAATACATACACAACTTATTATTATAATATTATATAATATTCATACAAATAATATTAATATCTGCACCAACATAATTAAGAAGTACTTGAAATTAACTTTTAATAATATTTTTAAGAAGATTTTGCTTGTCTTAAAACTTCTTTTTGATTTTTAATGTATTTATAAAATTATACGTATTGGCATTGCAAAATGGCCAATAGTTTCTAGCACCAATTGGTTCTTCTCGTCTCGAAAGAATAATTTTATATAAAAAATATTGACACATTTTGAGAAGTTCTGATTTTTTATCTAAATTCTTAGGTTCTTTAGAATCGAGGCTTTTTGCGGTCTAGTCGGGATATGAAGGTCAATAACGGTGACAGTCCCAATATATCGGGACGAATGGCAACCCTAGTCAAATACAGAGCAAATCAAAACATGCCTGAAAAACTTGTACACTCGAACTCTGTAACGTGATATTTGATATTTTATCTATTTGTTATAGTGTTTTAAGCTCAATTGATTTTGGGAGTGGGTCAGGTTATTAAATAACTCGAATTACCTTGAAAAAGAAGTTGGGCACCACTATATTTAAAACTTACTATACTTGACTATAGATTAGTGATAAAAATATAGAAAATCACTAACCATTAAGATATTATATTTAAACCAAGGTAGTAACAAATTCTAATTGACAGAGATTTATTTAATTCAAATTTAGATGATTTATTTAAAAAAATAAAGACTTATCTGTTGTTAACAGGAGCTAATAAAATTAGGAGTGTAATTTGCATGAATTCTAGGCCTGCTTCTAAGGGATTCGGGATCCTTATTCCTAATTCTGGACCTGAACGATCTTCTATAGGTGAACCAAACCTCGGCCTTTGGATGGCACCAAACTCTTAGGTATAAATCTCCATAAACTTCTTGATATAAACCATTTAGATACAAATCTCCATAAACTGTTTTAGATATAACTTGAAATAAACCGTCTAGATATAGCCATGCTAAAAGGAAAAGGTACATATGTTAAGAAAGGAAATAGGAAATTTTTCATTTTATTAGAAATTTGGTCGCTAAAAAAATCTTGTGACGAACTCTTACATTAAAAGGTGATAAATAAACTAAGGGTGAGATTACAGAACGTTTGCAGATCTGCAAATATGGCGGCAACCTTATAGATCTGCAAATATGGCGGCAAGTATCAAGTTTTCGTATTCCAAAAAATATCTGCAAATTCACAAGATTTATTGTGGTTTATTACCCTCAACAACACTAAACCCAAATCCACCCTTAAGGATGAGATTACAGAAGCTCTGCAAATATTAGTTGCAGTTGTAAAAGATAAACATGGTATTACAGAAACGTGTTTTCATTTTTTGCGTCTGCAAATCATCTGTAACTTATCAAGACGTTAGAACATCCTACAAACTTGGATGTGCTCATGTTTACTATACTTTTTTTCTATTTATCATGAAGTCTTCTGTTCCTTTTGATTGAATACAGTTCGTGGTGTCAGTTTATCAAGTTTTTAAACATAGTAATGGATTTGGGTTTAGTGTTGTTGAAGGTAATAAACCATAATAAATATTGCGAATTTGCAGATATTTGCAGATCTGCAAGGTTGCAGACATTCTGTAATCAACAATAGATCAAGTATACTAGATCCCTAGACAATATATTGACATTTTTCAGCCATATCTAATGTTTAAAGTGAAACAAGAGGAGATATACACCGAATTGAAAGTAGGTGTCGCACAGGGCAGTAAACTAGAACCGGCTCTTTACTTATTATACATCAGCGGTATCCCTCAACAACAATGTGTTAAAATAACAACATTTGCAAATGACACTGCGATATTGGCAGTTGGTTGGACTAATACAGACACCTCAGAAAAATTGAGAAATTCAAAATCAATTGATGGTAACTAAAGTAGAAAATATAAATAAATTAAACTAAATCAGTACCACCCTATGTACTTGACAATTATTTTCTAATATTTAGTTTTGACCCAAACTGATAGATATCCTTCAAATAAATCGTTAAATTTTGCTTAGCAGGAGTTACAGAGGTGTATTCACTTGTATTTTTATTGATTTTTTACAGGCCAAACCTACTGATACTTTGTACACTGATAATTTCTACAGCAGCTTCACCTTTTCTGATACCAAACCCAAAAACAGTAGAAGTAGTAACAAACTACACAAACTATCGATTACCGGAAAATATTATTCCTACAAGATATGAGATCAATCTATTAGTACCTCAAAACGCTTTAGAAGGAGGAAACCCCAATTTTTCAGGCGAAGTGAGCATAACTTTTAATCTAATAGCAGCTTCAGATACTATCCTTATTCACTCCTTAGTAGACTTTACTATTGAAGGTGTTACTTTAGAGGGTTTTAATACAATCACTGCTGAAACCACAGTTACTAGTACCCCATATTACGCTACTGCTATCACATTTGATAATGCTACTGAAATGGCAGCAATAACATTCAATGCAACTCTACCAATAATTACTCATACTCATTATATTTTGAGTATACGTTTTAATGGTGATTTGGAAACCGCTGGTATGCATGGTTTCTACAGAAGTGAATACAATGTTGATAATAATTTAAAAGAATATTTGGTTTCTACACAATTTGAACCAACTCATGCTAGAAGAGCTTTCCCATGCTTCGATGAACCTCAGTATAAAGCAGTATTTGTTTTAACGATTGTTCATCCGACAGTATTCACTGCAGTATCCAATACTCTAGGATCCAGTATTATAGGGTAAGTAATCTATAAACGAATGTTTCATGTCCCAATTCAACTGGTTAATTTTTAATCTTGAAAATTGTTCAAATCAACAAGAACTGGTTTTTCGGTTAACTTAACAAACATTTTTAACAGTTCTATAGGAATTTCAACTACAACCTTTGCAGAAACACCTGTGATGTCTACATATACATTAGGTTTTGCAGTTTCAAAATTTACTTGCACTGAACAAATTGTGGGTGCTGTTGTTCCTATTCAATACAGAGTGTGTTCAAGAGAAGCTTTTGCGCAAAAAAGAAGTGTAGGTCTGAATTATAGCGTCCAAATAATGAGTGCGTTGGATATCTGGACAGATGTACCATACAGTTCAATGGGTATTGGTAAAATAGATCAATTCGCCACACTGGATGGTGGCGCTATGGAAAACTGGGGATTGGTTACTTACAGGTAATAAATAATAATCTCAGATAAACAAATGAAATATAGATAAATAACGGGTGCCGTTTAACATAGGCATATAAATAAATAAATACAATATAAAAGTCTCAAAAGTGGAAATTATAAATAAAATACAAGATTAAAGTGGTAAGTGGAGTATCTATTTTCAAAGAAATATATGGAAATCCCATAGAAATCAAAGTTGTGGATGGGTTACATCTTTAAATGACAACATATATGCCACCAAATTGAATTAAGTTTTTGTAGATATAGCTTTACAATACAAAAAACAGAACTTATGCCAACATTAGGTCTAGAAGGAAAAAAAAAGAACGTGCAATTTGAATCAACATTTATTGTTTCAAATGATAATTTTTTAAAAGCAGTTTCTTTGTTTACTAAGACATAATTGAACATTACATTTTTTACATGCCATTCTTGCCCTGCCACTATAGTTTTCTAATTTACATATTTGCTCGTGACCTTCTGTTGGCATTGGCCAGTGTCCACAGTTGTCGTGCTTTTGCGGCATGACGCTTCTAATGTAGAAACGTCGGAGAATTTTCTCTTGAAGCCCTGCCTCTTTTTGAGGTTTGGATAATGGGAATTCCTGCAAAAGCAAGTGCTTTAGCAACTTCTAGCAGATGTCTTTTGCCTTCTCCTCCGGAAAGCCTGTTGCACTAGTCTCTCTTCTATGTTCCAGCCATGAATTGCAAACAGCAAGATTAAAATAATGAAGTATTACACTGAGTGTGGTAATTATTAGGAGGTAAATTTTCTTCATCACATTCATTTTCAGATTGAGATGCACATTCAGTCTCGATTTCATTGTTACTATTTTCTGGAATATAATCATCGTCTTCAAATGAACAAACCGTTCCTCTAGTTGGGATATTGCAACCAAAGTCTTGTTCAATGGGATCTTGTTTGAAAAACTGTAGAAACTTATTGTCGGTATTTCAAAATCTAAAAGAAACAACAAAATATAAAGAACTACCTTTAAAACATGATGGTGGCATTTGCGTTCATGGTTTTTAGGGGTTCAATAAATCAATACCAATAATAATTTTGAACAAATACTGTAAACTTGAGATCTTTGGCAACTTTATAATAAAAAACATAGTATATATATAACTTTTAGACTTATAACTAATAAAATTCGTTCAAAAAAACTTACTAAAAACTCTTAAAACTTTAAAAATGTGGCTGGGTACTATAAAAGCACAACAAATGTACAAATAAAACTGACAATTCCCAAGTGCTTGTCGACAGTTGCGACTAAATTTTGGCGCTACTATTTAAAATAGACCAATCACATCAAAGACCCAGGAGAAAGAAAAATTAATAGAAAAAAGGGTAGATGTTTGCTTTAAACAAATCCAGACCGTTAGTTATTTATATTTTAACTGTTTATCTGAGATATTAATATAGTGATGATTTTCATTATTTTTTTATTTTCAAGAGAAAATCTTCTATTGTACGATGCACTGCACACTTCAAATGCACTCAAACAGAAAATATTATCAACAATTGCGCACGAATTTTCACATATGTGGTTCGGTAATTTGATAACAACCCAGTGGTGGGACACCATATTTTTGAACGAAGGATTTGCCACATATTTCGAATACTTCATCTTGAATCCGGTAATTATTTTATCGATTAACCATATCAATCCATCTTTATTTACGTAAGACAATGATAGATATAAAAAATATTCAAGGAAAGAATTGTTACACCCCGCATTAATTTATGACTAAACTTTATAGTTATGTTGTGATCATTTTTGTTTAGATGATAGAACTTGCAAGTTACGAAATGGATAAGCAATTTATAATAGATGTCCAAAAAACTGCACTCGAAGCAGATGGATTATTAACGTCAAATTCCTTGACCTCTGAAGCCTGGACACCGAATCAAATTAAAAAAAAATTTTCTCCTATTTCGTACAATAAAGGTAAGTGTTAGGAGAGGGTTGTAACACTAAACTCGACTATTTAACTTCACTATTTATTATATTCGACTAAACTGTCTAATGATTCGCACAATAATGCCCTATATCTAAATAAAACGCTTATATAATTTCTGGTGATTTCGACTTATCGCCTAATGAGTCATAGTACTAGATATTCCAGCGGCGTCTCTTACGGGGTTGCTAACACGGCCATCCTACGGTTTGTTCGTCCTCGAACATATGTACTATCTAAAACAAATAAAATGGGTGATGTTTAAGGGTTTCTAATATACGAACATAGTAGTCCAAGCAATGATACTTGAAATCTGTTATTCACTGAGGCCTTAATACCTGCAGCACTAATTGAAATAACTTTGAAACCACTGTAGGCCTTTATACCTGCAGTTTCTAACTTGAAATCACCGTAGGCCTTTATACCTGCAGTTTCTAACTTGAAATCACTGTAGGCCTTTATACCTGCAGTTTCTAAATTGCTATGGCTATAGGCCTTTATACCTACAGCCCCTTTTTGTGTATCTTAACTTTTACTACATTTTAAGTTGCTAGAGGCCTTTATACCAAAAGCATAATAATTGTATATTTACCTTGTTCTTATTTTCGAAGGTTAAATATCTTAATGTCTTCTACACAATATACTCCTTCATAAGCTATAATATTTTTTGATCTCTTCGCATGGATATCTTCTTTAACTTTATATCGGTCATTAGGCAGAACCTCTATAATTTTAAATGGCCCTCTGTACTTCTCTAACAATTTCTTGCTTTGACTATTGTTAGAAGGAACACTTGAAATTCTTACTAGAACCAAATCTCCTACCACGAATGTTTCTGCTGGTTTTCTTTTCTTATTAAATATGTTTCTCTGGATTTTTTCATTTGCTTCTAAATTTCTTTTTGCTTTTTCTCTTAACTTGGTCACATCTGGGTTGTCACTTTCTTCGTCTACGTATCGGTCAGCCTGACTTCTGAGATTTATACCCAACATTATCTCGGCGGGAGTAGTCTCTGTTGTTTTATGCTTCGTACTGTTAATCCCTTGTTGGATTGCTTCTAAATTTGAGTCCCAATTATCGCTGGAAGTGTCAGCTCCCATTGTGGCTAATGCATCTAATAGTAATCTGTTAACTCGTTCTACTTGTCCGTTACCTCTGGGCATACCAACTGCTGTTATGTGAAGCCGAATGCCTCTATTTTCACAAAATTTATTGAATTCATTTGATGTAAGAGCTGTTCCAGCGTCGGCTACTATTCTTTTCGGATTGCCAAAAATAGAAAATATTTCTGACAATTGTTTTATTACATTAACAGCTTTAGTATCCGGAACTGCTCTGGGAAACACAAATTTTGTAAATACATCAACAACTACTAATAGGTGGCTATTTCTCTTACTGCTTTCCACGAAGGGTCCAAGGTGGTCAATATGTAAGGTATGAAACGGTTTGGCATACTTTGGAATAGGATGAAGATAACCTGGTTTCTTTCCTCCTGCCGATTTGTGATATAAACAGTTAAGACATGATTTGATATACTTTCGAACAAAATGTTTCATTTTAGGGAACCAATATCTTTGTTTAATCCGTTCTACTGTTTTTTCTAACGCAAAATGACCAACATCATCATGATTCAGCTTTACCACCTGCCATCTACATTTCTTTGGGACCATCCAACGTCGACCTCTTTCTGTTAATCTGAAAACTCTATTTCCACGTAAATCAAATTCTTTAAAGATTTTTTTGTTGTTTTGCATGTCACCAGATAATAATATTTCTTTTATTTCTTTAATATTATTATCCTGTTCTTGGGCTTCTTTCAACCAGTCTTCTTCATTTATTAGTTTTATACTTAGTTCACATTCCTCCTGTGTTATTTCTGGATTACGACTCAAGGCATCAACGTGCTGCATCATCTTTCCTTGTTTGTGTTGTATATTAAAATTATATTCTTGTAGTGACAGTAGCCATCTTGCGATTCTGGGAATAATTGTTTGCTTTGACATGGCATTTTTAACGGCATTGCAATCAGTGAAAATAGTAAACGGAATCCCCAAAAGATAGTGTCGAAATCGTTCTAAAGTTCTTACAATGGCAAGTAGTTCTAATTCAAATGAGTGAAACTTTCTTTCGTCAGGAGAAGTTTTCTTGCTGTAATAAGCTACTGGTTTTTCTTCTGCTCCATTGAGTTGAATAATTATGCCTCCAATTCCTTCTTGGCTAGCGTCTGTGTATACACGTGTTTCTAAATTTGGACTGAATATGGCTAGAATGGGAACTGAGCAAATCATTTCCTTCTGATGGTTTACCAGTTCTGTATGATTCTGAGTCCAATTCCATTTCGAATCCTTTTTCAATAAATCTGTTAATATACTAGTTTTAGAAGCGTAATTTTTAATAAATTTTCTGAAATAACCAGTAAGCCCTAGAAACTGTCTTACCTGGTGAATAGTCTTTGGCATAGGGAAATTTTTAACAGCAACTGTTTTTTCTTCACTAATAGAAACATTATTATTGCTAATTACATATCCTAGGTACGTTATTTTAGTTTGAAAAAATTGAGATTTTGATAATTTAACAGTTAGACCATGTTCTTCAATGATCTGGAAAACTTTTTGCAATTTTTCTATACCCTCACTTATTGTGTTAGATGGAATAATAATATCGTCCAGGTAAGGAGTGATACCGACATTTCGAAGAGGTTCAAAAATTTCAGACATCATTCTCTGAAACTCCGCAGGGGCATTACATAACCCAAAGGGTACTCTTAAGTATTCGTAATGTCCCTCTGGAGTTACAAATGCTGTTTTGTGTGTGTAATCGGGGTGCAATGGTATTTGATGGTAACCCGACGCTAAATCCATTGTCGAAAAATATGTATAGCCTCCAAGTGAATCAATAAGGTCTTCTATAACTGGTAGTGGAAATTTAATTTTTTCTGTTATTTTATTTAAAGCCCTATAATCAATAACTAGCCTTTTGTCCCCTCCTTTTTTATTTACTAATAAAGCTGGACTAGCATATTCTGAGCTACTTTTTTTTATTATATTGGCGGAAAGTAACTCACCAACTTGTTTTTTCATGATATCCTTATCTGACTGTGATAACCTATAAGGTCTAAATGTAACTGGTTTGGATGTAGTAGTCTCTATTTTCATTATTACCGAATGTGCTTTGCCCAATTTTTCCATAGAGGAATATAAACAACTGTGAAATGTTTCAATAATATTATATAATTTCATTTTATCTATTTTATTTAAGTCCCCGTGATTAACTTCAAGTTGAAAAAGTTGTAAATTATCTGAATATTTAAAAGTTAATTCATTACCAATACGATAATAAGAAATTTTTGGATTTTCCGTAAAATTACGTCCTACTAAAATTTCAGTATTTTTTAAAGTATTAACTGTAACATATAATAAAATATTTAATTTACACCCTTCCATAGTTACTTCAGTTTCGACATATTCATTCACTTCGGTTACGTCACCATTGAACGCCGTAAGACGCACTTTTTCCTGTAAGTTTTTAACTTGTATTTTAAGTCGAATTGCTAAATTTTTCTCAATCAATGAATAATCACTTCCTAAGTCTATAAACGCTTGCATAACTTGATTATTAATAAGAACCGGTTTGAAAAATTTTTTTGCCTCTTTGTTAGTTATCATGTTAACGTTTTCAGTTTTTGTTAAATTTATTTGTTTTTCATTATTTTTTTCTTTTTTTACAGCAGATTTACAAGCTCTGCCAATATGACCTTTTATTTTACAATTGTTACAAATTTTGTGTCGGTGAGGACAATTATCACTAATATGTTGTCCCGTTATACCACATCTATGACAAATAATAATTTTATGATTCACCGTTGAAAAATTCCTTTGTCTTTCGTAATTTACTTTTTTAAATTTGTCAAAAATATCCCTACGGCCAAAATCTTTACTGGTACTAGCAACAGGTTTACTATAATAATTGTTATTCGAAACTTCAGTATATTTTTGTGGTTTTTCTGAAATCTTACAATAAACTTTGTTTCGCAAATAAGACCCTAAGATGTTTAAATCATTGATATTTGCAGCTTCTGCTGCTGAAGTAATATTTTTATCATTTATAGCACCCAAAACTAATGAAATTTTATCTTCGATTGAAAAATTTAGTTTTAAATTATCAATTTTTGCTAAGTGTGTAAAGAAAAATTCATATAAAGAACATCCATCTGAAGGCTTATGATTTGCTAATTCAATTAAAAGTGTGTACATATCTCTTCTAGAATGAAATGTCTCCATCAATTTGTTTTTCCAATCGGACCAACTATAACTAGGCCATTGCTTGTCGTTGGCGATTAAATTTTTATACCAAATTTTTGCTGTACCCTGTAACTTATTCACAACTTGATGGATAGTCTGGTGTTCGGCCCAATTAAATAATTTTACATTATGCTCTATAATTTCAATCCAACAGCCGATATTATCTGATAACGGGTTAAATTCGGGTACTGCATTAGATATAACATGTTTTTCCGATAATAAGGATAATGAGACTTGACTTACCCCCGCCTTGTTTTTAGGTACTTTTAAATTCTTTTTTTGTTTACTTTTCTTGCGTCTCTTATTTAATCTAGAAGCACTTGAACTGGACGAAGAACTAGTAGAACTCGAGGAACTAGAACTGCTCGAAGAAGAATACGTTCTTTTTCTACCCATTTCAGGGCGAGTCGAACCACTTCTGATGTTAGGAGAGGGTTGTAACACTAAACTCGACTATTTAACTTCACTATTTATTATATTCGACTAAACTGTCTAATGATTCGCACAATAATGCCCTATATCTAAATAAAACGCTTATATAATTTCTGGTGATTTCGACTTATCGCCTAATGAGTCATAGTACTAGATATTCCAGCGGCGTCTCTTACGGGGTTGCTAACATAAGGTTTAAATTTTATTAGAAAATATCCAATACAATATTAAATATGTCAATAGCTTTCATTGTAGCTGCTAAGATTGCAAGTTATATCGTTAATAATAAAAGAGAAATGTACTGGGCCGACGTGAGGTCTTTGGGGAACTCCAGAAATTAGTTTAATTTTTTTCGGTAGATGGAAAACAACATTGATTAATAAAACTACTGAATTTTCCAAAAAATGTATTTAAGTTCATTTTAATTCTAATTTTAATTTATTTCCAGGAGGCTGCATTTTGAGAATGGTTGAAAATGTAGTACATTCGACAAATTTCCAATTAAGTGTTCAACAATATATATCATCGTAAGTTTTATTCTTCTATAAAAAAAATTTAGATTTTTAATTTTTATGGCTTTGGCTTTAAATCTACCCAATTAGCCAGTCTTAGTTTGTGATTTGATTTATTTTTCTTTCAATATTGTATCTTCTCTACAGGCTTTGTTACTGTTTCCCAGCGCCACTTTACGTACAGCACTGTTAATTAGAAACTAATGCTTATAAAAATGATTTTTTTATTAAGTTTTGTCTACGTATGTTTTAGTTCTTTCTCATCTACAACACCAAACCTTCTTTGGGCCACTTTCAAATTAACTTCAGAACCAAATTTATTTTTTACGTTTACTGAGTTCATTGACGCTTGGACAAATTCAGCTGGTTATCCAGTGATACATGCTACTGTAAACGGAAGTGATATCGTCCTAAACCAGGTAAGGAAAACTTTTTATTTGTTGACAATAGTTAAAACTAGGCTGACCATTCGTACAGCATTTTCAAAGTCTGTCCTGCACTTAACATATCAATAAAACTAAGAGTAGGTCAGGAGTTATTGTACAAAAAAATGCATATAAAAATCAGTGGTGTGCCTAGGGCTATGCTTGAGCCGCCCCTGCAAAAAATATCTCTTTTATTTATATTTTTGTGAAAAAGGTATTTATAATATTGAATTGACGCCATAAAAATGGTGTGCCATCCGTCCTCATGGGTTCACCATGACGCTGATAAAAATACACGTTAGTTTGGAAATGTATTTATTAAATTTAATAGTAATTAAAAAAATTATTTTTTTAATTAAACAATTTTAACAAAAAAATGAACAATTAAAAATAAACACTTGACAATAATTATTATTATACTCATTTTATACACTATTAAATTTAGTAAATGTTCAACATGTCCTCCTTCTTCTTGAATGCAAAAATATAAATAAAAGAGGTAGTTTTTGCAGGGGCGGCTCAAGCACAGTCCTAGACAAACCACTCATTTTCAAATTCAGTTAAAAAATTGTAAATAGCTCGTTAACTAAGAAAGATACAAAGATCATTTCGCTAAAAAAAAAAAAAAATAAAAATTCATAGTTCTTTTTAATTTTAATTTTAAGATCGATAAAGCAAATTTCTTAATGTCAAAAAAAATACGGGAGGGGGGTTAAAAGGTACTCAACCCCCTACCTTTTTTTAAGCGGGTTGCTTTAATTTTTTTCTCCTTAGAATATTGGGCCTTCAAATCTATAGCACTGTCAAAATATTCAAAGAAAAAATCACAACAGCAAACTTTTTACAATGTTAGTTTAACACACTGTTAGGAGCCATTTTTTGATATAGGTAAATATAGTCAAATCCACTTATTTTTTGGTAATCTATCTGAGGATGACTGTATGACATACCTTTTTGAAACACACTGTATATATTTAACCGACTTCAAAAAAAAGGAGGAGTTTCTCAATTCGTCGGAATATTTTTTACTAGATGGTCCGATTTCTATGATTATTTTTTTGTTCGAAAGGAGGTAACTCAGGGGTGGTCTCACGTAAATTTGGTCAAGAATTGAGTGGGTTAAAAGCCAAGAGGTCCAAGGTCAAAGTATCAGAATATGAATATTGAGATATTTATGTTTAAAGAAAATATACTCCAAAAAAATATGCAATTTTTTATCTGGAATTATTGTCTTTATTTTTTGCTTGTACTTTTAGGTTAAGTTAAGGACTTTTTGAGATTTAACTCATTTGCAGGGCCGGACTCCGCATAAGCCGGTCATTTTAATTTAAAAAAATATATCTGTCTAGTAGTAACTCTTTTAATTCTTAGATGACAGCCGTAAAAATTTTTTTGACCTGGATCTCTTTGCCACTAAGTAAATTTATATATTCAGTATTGATTACTGCAAAAATTTTGCAAAAAAATCGACTTGTACCCCTTGCCTTCTGATCACCTCAATTAATAATGGTATGTAATGTATGTAATTAATATGTATTTTCAGCGATAATACTTTGTCACGTTGTCCGATTTATATTATTCTTTTTTTGTTAGAAAAGGAATACCTCAAGGATAGTCACATATACAATCGGTCAGGATCTGATGTACTATGAAAAAATAAAAAAAAAACTCATTTTTTAAGAGAATCTGGACGATTTTCAAGTCGGTTTTTAAAATTACTTTTATATCTTCTTTATTTTTATTTTTTTGAGTATTGTTTCCATATAATCATTATAGACTAACCTACAATTTCCATCTAAAAATTTTATGAACTAATTACTAATCTAAGAAGTCCCCTTTGGGTTGTCCTATAGTTGTTTTTATAAGAAAGCATCACAAGTTGGCGTGACGATTTATTACACTATTTTAAACTAGTACTAACATTAAAATTCACTGCACTAGCTCAAATAGCTTATTCCTTTTGAGCCTCCTGTTGAGTGTAGAGTTGTCCTGTAATTGCAGCGCTTCTTCGTTGACGTGGAGTACATCCTAATGTTTCGCAGCAAACCTCTTTATTTCTTCTTCAACTGTTGGCATCTTGAGGTCTCTATGAAGATAATCGTTTCGATAGAACCATGCATCCCAGGACTTTATTTTGAAAAACTTGTATCATGTTGATATTATTCTTGCTGCTCTTTCAACTATAAACCTTTCCAGTTCTCTATATAGCTGATTTTTTGTTTTTAGTGTTATGGTCATTGGAATAGTATTTGTTAAGCTCTCTTGAAAACCTTTCCAATTAGTTTTCCCATTTGCTAGCATGAATATCGGCAATTATTTTTTTATTTAGTTTGCATGTGTTATTCTCGGTAAATTATATTTCCTTCTTTATTATATTGACAGCCTCTTTACATTTAAATCCTTGACTTTGCTAGTCTTTAAACAATAATATCTTTAGGTTTAGATGTATATGGTAGACCTCTAACCATTACATTAATGCCTTTGGTCTGTTTAATTTCATAGGAATGCCAATTTATGTTTTTGGCATTTAAGGTTGATATGCCATTTTTGAAGTCTTCTTGTTTAGTATTATTTTTAAATTGGTTATTACTTAAGCGCTGTGGATAGGAAGGAAATATTTTTTCCGCCAGCGTATGGCGCAATTCTTCATACTTTCATAATGATGTTGCTTGCTATTATCGGGAGAAGTTTCACTGTTTTTTCGACTATTTCTTTCTCTTCTTGCAGAGTTTTGCTACTTCCAGGTTGGCTAGGAGAAGTTTCTGAAGAGTTGTCTTGTCATTTTTGTCTTCTATTGTCTCTGCTTTCCGCTGTTATCCAATCTACTTCTTTGTTAATCACACGACCTCTCTGTTTTTGTAATCGTCTTTGGAAAGCTGAAAAAAAGGTCCTCTGGTCATCTACATGACTTCCCTGTATTTGTGTTTCTGTATTTATCTTTGGGGAGTTAAAAAAATTCCATTGGTTCTCAAAAAAAAGGTACCTTACCCCGTTCATGTTAGTTGTATTCGTGTTCAGTGTCCAGCGTCCAGCATTGGGTCAAACAAAATATGGTCACCCTACCTAAAACACAATATAAACTTCTTTTTGTTTTATATACGCGTAGGATCAAAAACTACGAATCTAGCTCAAGAACATAGTAAACATTGTTGAAATTTTAAATTTTAGAAGCGTTTCTTGTACAGCGGTACTGATAATAGTTCAACCCAGTGGTACGTCCCAATAGTTTATAAAGATCCCAATGCAATGACTACCAGTACAGTTTGGTTGTTGCCAAATAACAACGTTACTATAGAAAATGGGTCTGCTGCTAACAGCTGGGTCGTATTAAATCAAGGTGCCTCTGGTAAGTTAGAACAATACCGATACAATCTTGAACTGAACTAACATAGAGATAATGTAAACTACTGAGTTTCTTGCATTTTTCTTTCAATTCTTCAATTAGTCCTTTTCTAATCGATTTTTAGCCATCTTCAATAATCTAATGTCAAATTCAAATCAACATCTCCGACCATAAATCAATTTGATTCATTTTCTATTATATAAACTGATTTTTAGGTTACTTCAGAGTTAATTACGATACTGTTCTTCGTGAGAGAATAATATCCACGTTGCAAACTAACTATTCAGTAGTATCTGACATAGATAAAGCTCAAATAATAGACGATGCCCTCAACTTAGCAAGAGCTGGCCATATTAAGTACTCAGAAGCATTTAAAATGCTGAATTACCTCGTAAATGAGACGTCGTACTATCCCTGGAAGGCTGCAATTAGTGGGTTCAATTTCCTTGCTACACGTGTAGGTAGGTTATTTTAACTTAATTTATTTATATTTAATACAACATTAATTTATTTCACAAATACATACAATTAACTTTGAGTATTTATCTGAACAAAACGATATCTTAACTAAAACTGACTTCAATGGCAAACAAATCTTTGTTAATTCGAGAGACGTTAAAATGGTGGTTCCCACATTATCGAGACAGGCCCACAAGGGTAAACTCGTAGCGTAACAAAAACGAGAAATTATTTAACTTGGAACGAAATACCGAAAGCCGATAGTAGTATTAGCACGTTGATGATTTTCACAAGCCTTGATTTTTTAAAACCATTCTATATCGTCTTTTGATTAGGGTTTAAAAACTTGTTCGAGCAATTTATCCAATAATAATTGGCCCCTTTACCTCTTAAGCCTGCTCATGTAAAATGTTTGGGCTTCTTACTTCGCTGATTTATATTCTATTAATAAAGGACAGAAGGATGACTATTGCAACTATGTTAAAAGAAATAAATTGGCTTTCAGTTCAGAATTATGTTCAGTACCATCGCATCAGATCTATTAGAAAAAAATCAATATAATTCGCAATATCATGTACGGCAAGCCATCACTAAAAGTTCCCAAAATATAATTTTTATTAAAGGTTTAAAACAATTTATAGACTGCCTACAGAAATTAAAAAAAAAAAACAACAATAAATGTATTCAAAAGTAATCTCATCCGCATTTATTATTTGTTTTGAGATCATGTACTTTATTTTAATAGTTTTGCGACGATAGGTTATAGCAACTTATAGCCACAAAACTATTTTTGTGTTAAAGTAGATCCATAGAGAGCAATGTAATTTACAAAGGCCTTCTTTCAACATACAAATAAATGACAAATTTATAATTAAAATGAAAAACACAACAAAATATCTCGGAATCATAATTGATCCAAATTTGAAATGGGCATTATATCCTACCTCTCTTTTATATAATAAAAAAGTGCTTTGTTTAAGACCATTATATTATCTGTCTTGCTGTACCTTTATTTATGGAAAGCCTGAATTGAGATATTTATTATTTACAATAAATATTAAAAGAAGTATACATTTTAAAATAATTTGATATAAGAGCCATTCACATATCACAGTTGACAAGCAATATTTTGATTCTATGGGGTTGCGACAGAGAACCAGTAAATTTGATGAAGGTGTTTTTGTGGCTAGAGGCGAAATAGTAGTACGCTTAATAGCACCACCATAAAAATGTAATTTTTAAGAAACTGCTTATATATTTTTCATAAATTAGCAGGCTTGGCGACTAATTTCGAATGAAAATATCCTCCAAAATGGCTATATGGTTGCAAGTATGAAGGTCGCAACCCGCCTTAGAAATTTTACCATTACTTTCAACAGCTGTTGTTTGACAGGTCGTTAGAGAATGTTTGCAATTTATGGAATGTAAAGAATGTTAGGAATTTTCACGTTACAAATAATTGGAATTCCTAAAATTGTCAAATAAGGAATGCATAGGCGGGTTTTAAGGAAATGGTTATTAAAGTAGTTAGGATGAACCGAAAATTCCGAAAATCAATAGGGTTCTAAGTTAGAAGTAATTATTCAAGAAAATCAAAACCGCAAATCAATCAGAACGTTCGTTCTAGAATTATCGTGCCGGCATAGATACATATATTCAGACGACCAGACGAAATTTTTTTTTTTATTTTCGGGTCGGAATGATCAGATTACTGAGGCCCCATAGGAAGAGCCTCAGTAATTTACAAATCTGGTGTTTCTCGAACATTTCAGACTTTCTAGACTAAGAATCGGCACTGCATCCAGATATTTTCCAGAATATCACTTCGAAACATCGGCTTTCCATAGAGGGGTATCAGAGATTGATTTATTTCATCGAATATTCTTGATTACGAGAAAATAGAGACCGTAATATGCCCAAATAAGTTAGAAAGGGACTTAAGTGATTCGAGCAGAATCAGACAGGACCAATATTTATTTTTTTTGTCTTATCTTTTTTGGGGGTTTAGTATTTTTTTATTCGTTTTAGCAAAAAGAGAAAGTCACATTGAGTGCATCTGCAGTTCACCATAACTTTTTTCTTATTTTAAGTGTAAAAATCTAATATCATTTATTTAGGTAATAGATTGGTAGTCATCTAGACATCTTCGATGTTATCCATTTTGACGTAGATTTTAATGTATATAAATTTCTTAAAAATCTCTATTTTGTTGTTTATAATGCAGGAGAGGAATCTGAAGTAGGGCGTAGCCTCAATACAAAAATACTGGAACTGATCGAAAATGTTTCAAATGGTATATCGACAATAAATTGGACAGAGGTAGATCATGTTACTGGCATCAAATTAGGAATGATATGGACTGCTGCTTGCAGAGCTGGTCAAACGACTTGCATTACAGAATCTACAAGATTATTCAAAAACTTTAAGATAAACGGTACCAGGTAAATTAGTGTTGCAGCTTTTTTAGAATTTTATTATAAAAAATGCATTTATTTTGAAAAATACGAAGTAATGGGCATAAAATGTAAATATTTAAATTAGGAATAAAAAACATAAAACAAATATTGGTAATGTGGTTCCTCTATGGATATGTGGTTCCTCTATGGATGGTCTGTGATTTAGTACGCAGTTGTCCAGTGACAATTAAATATTAAAAAACCCAACAAACATTTTCTGTAGGGGAATTAAAGGCCCAATAACTGTCAACCTCCAATTACATTGATAGCCATTTGACTTTTTTAATTAAATGGCCGGCATATATAGGTCACTACGGCCGATAGTTGGGCCGAAGTCACTTTGCCATCATAACAAATTAATGGGCCTTCACTTCCCCTTTAATGTCTATAAATAAATATATTGGCAAATAATGGCCTATTAACGGGAAATTGCTGGCCTGTTACCATATTAATAAAGGCCATGTGTCAGGCACATAATCAGACAGGATATTTGATAGTGCCTCTTTGACCAGTAGTACCTTTTGAACTATTAATTCTATACAAAAACAGAAGGCGTTTTAATATGGAATATTCTAGATATTTTATTTAATTCATCTATTATAATATAATACAGAAAAAATGTCTTCTTCAAAAAAATTATTAACAAAATATTCTAAATAAATACTGAAAAGTAAATACCAGGAATGTTAGACTGATCTCGTATTACATGTCAACTCGTTGAGTATGTAACAAGCGATCATCAGTGTCTCCATCAATGAACGCGGGACAGAGCCCTCCTGGACTGTTGGAGTTGAGTTTGCGGCAGTTAAAAGCCTTTTGAGTTTTATCAGGCTTTTACCCAATACAGTTATTTACCCTTTATAAGGCCATCATCAAGCAACATAATTTGGGCCACTATCGAAAGGCCAAAAGTAGACTTCTTTTTTTTATTTATTTTTTTATTTATTTACGGGTCATTGCCCATTAAAACAATATCTACAATTACAGACAATACATATTACATACATTAAATAGTAATAAAATCCTAAATAATAATAAATTAACTTAAATACATAAATATTAAAATCAATTAAAAATCTACTTCTCACATATAAATGGTTAGAAAAATCTGATAGAGAAGTAATCCATTCTACATTTAGTCTGTTAGCAGATCTTGTCACTCTAGGAATAAAAGAGCGAGAACCATAATGTGTTCTACGGAAAGGTTGGGAGAATATATTAATATTCCTATAGTTACTCTAGAGGGTACAGAAAATCCAATTTGGGATAACAAGTAGGGACAATCGGCAGATGAGTTAATAATGTTAAACAATATTTTAAGATCCCTTTGGTTTCTTCTGCTCAGAAGGGTCTCAAGATGACAAAGTTTGTGTAATTCGTCATAATTGTATCTGAAGTTGACCGGGACGATACCCGATTTAAATGCAACAATGCGTAAAAATTTGTTTTGAACCTGTTCTATATTATGGATTAGATATACATAAAAAGGATTCCATACAGAAGAAGCATATTTAATATAAGGTCTAACTAAGGCACAATAAAGAATCTTTAAACATATCACATTATGAAAATAAGAAGTAGTTCTTCTAAGGAAACCCAACATTCTTAATGCTTTATTAACTGAGGCCGTTATATGAGTTTGAAGAGAAAGGGTGGAATCTAATATCACACCCAAATCTTTTACCTCTGTAATAGTATCCAGTAGTGTTATGTCATTGATTTTATAGATATATTCAATAGGACTATGTTTTCTGTTGAAACTGATTGCATGATATTTACTTGTATTTAATTCCATTCCATTAGTACTACACCATTGGACCAAGTTATCCAAGTCTTTTTGAAGGCAAATTCACGCATGAATAATTTTAAATCATCAGCAAAGCAAAGGAACTAAGAATTCTTAAAACAATTTTGGATATCATTGTTATATATATTAAAAAGTAGAGGTCCCAAATGTGACCCTTGAAGGACACCAGATGTAGCGATAAAGCCAGAGGATAAGAAGCCAGAAACACGAACAATTAGAATGCGGTTTGTTATGAAGCATTCGATCCATTTCAGAAGATTACCAGCAATGCCAATGTTACTAAGCTTTCCAATCAAGCAACTGTGGTTAACCCTGTCGAATGCCTTTGAAAAATCAGTGTATTTATTTTCCCTTCAATTACAGCAGAAGGCCAGCAATATCCTGGCGATTTAATGTTTGTTGGGTACTGTCTAGAAGTAATTTCGTAAATATTGGACATGTTCTGATGTCATTGTATTATCCAAAGTTAATTTGATATTGTTTCTTCCTTTTTCTATTACTTTCTAGTATACAAATCAATGTATTATTTAATTTTTAGCATCAATCCCAACATTAGGAAAGCCGTTTATTGTAATGCTCTCCGTCACAGCACGATCGCCAGTGATTGGCAATTTTTGTGGAATAGACTTCAAACTTTCGATGATCCCCATGAATCGCTTTATATTCGTGATAGTCTCGGGTGTACAAAAGACAGAAATCGACTGATGTTGTAAGTAAATTAAGGTTTCTTATATTTAATATGTAATTATGTCATTCAAAGGAAAGGAAGATAGTGGTTCGAATCCCTCATCATAAACTTTATAATTTTAGTTTGCTGGATCAGTCTATAACTAATCCGTCAGTGATAAGAATTCAAGATATATTACCACTGTGGAATTCGATATACACCAGTAGCCAAGTAGGATTGCAAGTGGCTTTGGAACATTTTACAACAAATCATGCAAATATTATTCAATAGTAAGTATCTCAAATCGAATTTGCAAAAATATATCATTTTTATAATGTGTGGAATTTGTCTGGTTGTGTAATAATTATAATATTAATCTTTTTAACAATTAACGTGCTATTAAAACTTAATTTTAGCTATCCAGGAGCCTCGTCTATTTTATCAGGAATAGCTTCAGTGCTTTCATCTTCTGGTGAAATACAGCAGGTGAGTAATAGCGTTATTTTTGTAGCATTATTATTGAGATCTTTCCCGTTCTTAGAGAGTTATTGTAAGTCCACTTGAGGTCAGTGCGGCACTATTAGTGCCGCTCTTATTTTGACATCTAAGCATGTGCAGATGTTTATGTTCTAAAACTAACTTTATTAATTAATTGTAGATGTTTAAGGGCAGCAGGTAGTGGCGACTTTATAGCTTTCGGATGCGCTCGCCGACATTCGTATCCGTTAGAAGTTTTTTAATATTAAATATATGATATAATCGTCATTTAAACCTTCTAAAATTATAGTTTCTAATGCCTCTTTAATATTGTGTACTATTATAGATAACAAAAAAGATTAACTATAATTTAAAGTTATTAAAATAAGGTTAGAAATAAGTATCAGGACGAGGATTCTAATGTCAAAATTTCAGGTTTGCAATAAGTCTGATTTTAGCATGGAATTTATTTGATTCTAATTACGATGTCATTGGAGAGTTGAAGTGATGCTATGAACGCAAACGTATACGTGAACATTGACATCTACGCATGCGTATTTAAATATTCTTCACGTTCACGTCTACGTACATACGTAAGCTTACGGACTCTGGCGTATGTACGCAACGCAAACAAAATAACCTCTTTTTAATTGGAAAAGTAGAAATTCTGATATTAATTGTCATTATCTGTCATGATACATAAATGTCACGATGCGTTTTACAACTTCAATTCCGATTTTGGACTTCAACGTAAACATTATATTTCTGCATTGACGTTCACGTTTACGTTAATGTACTGGAAATACTTCAACTCTCTACTATTAGTGGCTGGGATTATAGAAATTTGCAATATCTCATCTTTATTAAGGACAGGCACAATCTTTATTAAAGTTAGTGATCTGCGCATGCTCAGATGTCAAAATAAGAGCGGCACAAATAGTGACTTACCTTAAGTGAACTTGCAATAACTCTCTAATAACTAAAAAATATTCCTTATTTTATTTTTGTCTGAAAAATTTGTGAAGCAACAAACAAATAAATGCATATTTGTAATTTAAAATAAAAGGTTGGGCTCAAATTTTGTAACATTATTATAGTTTTTATCATAAATAGTTATTTATTATACAATAAGGCAAAAAGTATTAGATTTTAGCTCGAGGTTGTGTTGACTCCGAGGGCTAAAATATAGTATTTTTCCCGTGTATAATACACTATTTTTTGAAAAAATATTCCAAAATATCTACCTTTACTTATTTGTATATATACCTATACTTTTTTCCGAGAAACAATTTTTCCTGGGAAACGGGGAAAAGTAATTTCATAAAATATGACATTTTGTTCCTGACAAGAGAGATAAAATGTCAAATTTTTTCCCGTCACAAAAAAAGTAATTTTCGGACTTTAAAAAAAAGGACTATTGATTCTTCTTTATTTGAAAATAACTAAGAAATTTCCTTTATTTTTTAGTTGGAAACGTTTTTGGGTCAACAGCAAAATGGTACAATTGTGAGTGAAGCAGCATCGGCGGCTTTAACGTCTGCCAAGGAAAATTTAGAATGGCAACAAAGTATCGAAGGTGATCTTCGAACAGCATTTGGTCTTCCTCAAATAAATAACATTGAACCTGTCAACGGCAGTTCATCTACATATGCGAAGATGTTTTTATTGATTTTAGCGTCTCTGTTTGTGATTTACCATTAAAATTGTTGTACATTAATTATTATTAAAGTTCTTAATGTTTATGCAATAAGTATAATTGGCAGGGGAGATCAAAATAAAAATTTTTTGTTTAATGAATTAAATATGATCGAAAACGCGTAATTTCCGAAATTCAGGAACTTTTATACAAAATTAATAAAGCCCAGTAGATATTTGCAATTTTCATAATTATTTTGAATAAAGCAACTAAAATTACAACTTTTTTGACCCTTGATATTTTTCTGTATTTCTCTTTGTTTTCGAGAAAAATAAATGAATATCTAAACTATAAAAAATATAACTAAAAACAAAAACGAAGCTAGATACTAAAAAAATTGACGGACAAAAAGTTGTGCCCCGTGGGCACGCCTATGGAAATGTTTAATAAAAGCAAATAGGTCCAAAAGATACCTTCATCAAGATTTCAACAAAGTGTGAAAGTTTCACTGAAATGGCTTAAAACGTTTTCAAGATATTGATTAAAATTCTTTTTTTTTTTTTATTGACACCCTATAAATATCTCAGCATACGTTTATTAAGCAAAAATGTTTGTTTCGATGTCCCATATCGCCCCTAAAAGTTTATTGATATATTTACATGACAGCCTGTAATTAAAATAAAGATAGGTAGGATACGATTACAATAAGAAGAACACCGCTACGTCATAATTATTATTTCGAATTTAAAATATATAGGTATCTATAACTATCAATAAATAAAGAATATGCGAGTTGTTTTCCTATAATAACACAATAGCCAACAAATTACTCCGCGCCAATTGATGATGTAGCTGTGTTCTTCTTATTGTAATCGGACAAAGAAAAATAAATACTTATCGCATTTTCAATGTATTTTTAAAATTAATAATAAAAGCCTGTTACAATAATTATTTGAATAAAAGTTCATATTTCTCAATATTCGATCATGTATTGGAATAGGTACGCCTTGTTTACATAAACAATTGTCGTATGATAATAAGGTCCATAATCGCATGCACCACAAACGATGGTACCAGCAGAGGTTGCCACAGTCTCTGTTTCGATTAAACTTATAAGGATAATAATGATTAGTTCCCAATGTTTTAAGGTTCAAGATACCTACTTATTATGGAGCTTAATGTTAAACAGTTCATTCAAGAATCTGGATCATATTCATAAAATTTCTCATTTAATTTTTTTCTGCATTGAATCGGTGTTTAAATTAGATGTTTTTAGATTTTGTTCACTAGGATACATCGGTTTAACCATTAAATACTATATTTTAATTGAACATTTGTACCTACGCCTAGGTACTTTTATATATTACCTAATCTGAATTTTTGACCACCTCGTATTTGTTTTAATTAAATATTATGAGGTAGTAAATAAAAGAGATAGGATAGGAACAAATAAGTTAGCCATTTTGATTAATTAGAAATAGTTATGACAGAAAAAATTTCAAAATTCAAAAATCTCTATTTTTTAACAGATCAAGTCTGATAGATCAATGAAATTAGTTATTCAAGGAGAATCTAAAAATGTAATAAAATACAGGGTGTGCCACAAAACATTTTTTGGGACATATCAAGTATATATTTTAAAAAGATGGCTTTCCTCATCATATATACTTAAAAAATCGGAGCCATTTTAAAACTTTATCGATTCGCTATAAACGTCAGAGGCGTGGTAACTTATACTGTATAACTAATGTGTTATTGTTATTGACAAATTATACTGAAGCTGAAATAGTAGTTTGTGCAACAATAGTGGATATGGAGTTGCACAGTATATTTTTTCTTCGACCCACTAACGAAATTCTATAATATTTTAGGTTTTAAGATAAAATAACTAATTTTAAAATAATTTGTTTTTTAATAATTCATAAAATAAAAGAAACAAAAGAAAATTAGTCCCTTGTCCAGATTTGAACCTAGGCTATTCGCATGGAAGGCAGATGCTCTATCCTCAGCTTCATTGCCACCTTTATGATTTTGGTTTTAATAATAGTAATTAAACTAAAAATGTTATTATTTATCGATTCTAAACAAAAATATACTGACAATTAGTTTGACAGCATTATTGTCACTTATTTAAAATTTTAAAAATAATAGTAGTTTGGTATCCAAAATATGAATTGTGATTAGTGGATTTCATTTTTTTGCAATGTTCTCACTACTTAGAATAGATATGAAATATATTCGTTCAGTTGAACGCAATAGCTTACTTTTCCTTTTTTAATTTGTGCGTAGATAAGCTAATATCCCTGTAGGTGTAGAAAAATATGTTTTTTCTACGCCCACATTTCAATGTAGAAAACTAGAATAATAACTAGAAATACCTACGCAACGTAAATAAGTAGTTTTAAGTATTTACCCCATAAAAACTGCTATTTTCACCACTTCATACTATATTTCCTTAGTTTATAATGTTTATGCAACATAAATTATGTTTATAATAATATAAATACAAAATACGTCTTAGAAATAAGGATACCTGCATCTACTTGCCCCTTACTGTTATTATTTTGGGTTGAACAATTTCACTGCTTCACGGCACAACGCTTTTCTCAAATGCATTCAAACAAATTATATGGATGCGAGTCCGAGCTCTAGTGATCGGTTCGAACAAGGAATTGTTTGTTTTCATATCACATGCATCTCATAAACACGCATTTAAAAGTAATTTTAATTAAAAAATGTAATTGTAGTTATAAATGTAATTGTAATTGGAAAAAAGTAATTGTAATTGTAAAAGAAATTGTAATTGGAAAAGTAATTGCACTTATGACAAGTAATTGTATTTAAACAATTTAAATAATATAAATTAATATAATTACAAAGTACAATTCATCCACAGATTTTGCTGCAATTACAATTCCAAATTACTTAGAGAGAAAAGTACTTAAATACAGTTACAATTTACCTGAAAAAAAGTAATTGTAATTATTAATTACTTTTTAACTAGGAATTACCCAGCTTTGATAAATAATGTAGATATCCATGGGCGTAACAACTGTGCTAGGGTTTTATTTATTTCTTGATATAAATATACCTAATTGTAGAAACTGGTTATTTTATGGTATATACATTTACAGGTTTCCGAGAGACATTATCCAATGTCATTGTGACTGAACAACTTGAAAATAAATGAGGAAGATCTCAAAACTGATGCCAAAGTTTGTTCAGATCACTTTTCACCTAAAGATTTATTTATGTATAATAATCGAACATTTTATGTGAAATCCAATGTTTTGCCAATCGAGTAAGTAAACAAGTGTCTTTATATACATACTTTCGTATTGATAGAGATAAAAGGTAATTTATAAGTATTTACTGCAAACTCTACTTACACCTAGTTAAACAATTCTTTTTTGAAACTAAGTATTATTGAGGTCTAAAATTCTGTGAAAAATAGATTAGAACTGTTGTCTCCCAGTTGTAATTTATTAAACACAAAATAAAAAAATTTTATTGTACTAAACCCATTATTGAAAACTTATAATTTTTTTTAGTACATACTTCGTTGAGGGAAGTAGTATAGAAAATGTAGGTACCTATATGTGGAAACGCATGATGATTATATTCGCTCAGTGAAAAGTTATGGTAAGGGAACAAAAGCAATACCTAGCGCAAGCTGCAGATAATTCGACCACTTTAGGGCGATATTTTGTAATTTTGTCGTATCAAATACACGTATACATTTTACTTTTTTTGCAGAAAAGAAGTAAGAACAATGTAATAAGCAACCGTAGTTGGTGTGTACTAGAAGAAAAATCTCCCTAAGGTATTTATTTATTTTTATCTTCTAAAAAGTAAGTTTTCAATTCTTTTACAAAATTATATTTTGTAATTTATTCTTTTTTTAAATTTATTCGGGTTCTGGAAATTACTCTTCTTTCGAACTATCAGAATTCAATTTCAAGATAAAATATTCAAAACGATAAACCCACTTGGATTATGGAGGAACATAATGATGTTCTTATATGCGCGGGGTCCTGCCTAAATATAACCAATGGGTTTTAAATAGTAAACAATTTTACTGCAAATATACTAAATACTTATGGTATCTAATACCGACCAATTTCAAATGAATTGTTTACATGTAGTAATTATTAAGGTAGTTCACGCGCGACAGTCGTACACTAAAATATCGCCAAAGTTTGAGTTTCTCAATGCTGAAAAATGTTTTTTTTTGTACGAGACTAAACACAACACATGTAAGCTTATGTATCGATACGTTATTATTTCAAGTAAAATCCATCCAGCAACGTCACAAATATATGAATGGAGCGCTATCAAGTGTGTACCTATAGAAATTTGTGACTTCCTTATACTAATTTTAAGGGTTGTTTTGGTTCAAACAGAACTGTCGATTCCAGTTCTCAAATACAGTAGACAAATTAATTTTTCAAGAACACATGATGAGGTTATAACAACCTCTTAGCTGATCGAGTGTAATTCAGTGATTCTGAACTAACAATGTTGCCAAGTTATATTCATTGTACACCACTATGCGTGGACTGCTTTAAAAATATATTTATTTTAAAAATCTATATCTTTTTACCAAAAGGGTCAAAAAATTCAATGTGTTTTTAGAACTTCTTGATTTACATTACATTAGTTTTTAAAAATATAGTAAGAACCGTTTTCGAGATATCTTGAAATAAATGCATTGCTTGTGTACATGACAGGCTTCAAGACTGTTAATTATGCACAATTTCATTGTTAATCTCGTTTCACAGACGGTCAAAAAAAATTTTTTTTTTAATTAGGTACGTAAAAGACACTTTCATTAACCTTATATTTCAATTTTATTGAATTTTTAAGAAAAGCCGTTTTACGAATGAACTATTTAAATATTATTTAAAAAAAAAATGAAAATAAAGTCTTAAAATCTAAATCTTGTAGCTTATTTTCAATTATATTTAATATGGAACTTAATTTTTAAATAAAATGTACCATTTATTGTAGGTTTTTATTTGCATTTAAATTTTTAAAAAATAGCCATCTATCCAAATGAAACCATTTTAAATAAGGAATTTTTATTATAGGTATTTAAAAATATCAGAAAACAAACACAATGTCATTATTTCTTCTGTTTCCTCTAACTTGTGTACGGCAAAATTTTGCTGTAGTACTTTGTAAATAATAAAGTTCATTAATCTCCGTATTTTGTATAACTATTTTTAGTTGATAAATAAAATGCTTTAATTGGTCTTTATTTTATTTCATAAATGAAGGTATGTAGTCAGAAATATGTATAATATTCTTGCTTCACATATAAAACGGGATCTTTTCTCCTTCATCAGTCAAGCTTTATAGTAGGTATATTTACTCAAAATGTATACAAATTGTTTAAAGTACAAAATTAATAATCCTATAAAATTGAGTAAATAATATACAAAATGACAAGTCTTTGCATGGTCTATATAGTATTACAATACTGTGAAATACTATTCTTACATTGAAAGTTAAAAATATACGCTATAAAACAATATTTTTAAAATCATGTCCATCCGCTTTCATCTAGCATTTTATAGTAATTAACAATATATGACCCCTTCCATACGGTACGGCACTGCCAAGTTTTCCATTTGTGTACCTTTCCTCTCTCCCCGTCTAGATAATCATTAAACCCATTACCACGGGGGTCGGATTCCATGTAAATAGTTGGTAACAAGTTTGTTTGACCTCGACAGTAGCGCGCTAAGCGCTTACGGTTGAACTACACCTGTCAGTTTCAGTCGATAAAGTAGAACACTACTAATTAAAGCGATTTAAAAATTGGCGGGCTTGATATTTTAGATATTTGAAGCAATTTGAAGTAACATTTTTCCTATTTGACAACTTTTACTTACAACTACTAAACAAACAACAAGTTTAGTGAATTTTTGTTGTAGGTAAATGTTGAAAAATGGAAAATGTCACTTGTTTTAACTGAAAAATAAAATTAGTTGAAAAATAAAACACATTTTTAACAAGTTTTATTTATTTAGAATTACCATGTAATTACATGTGTCTCATTATCTTCTAACTGCATATTTTGAACATAACAAGCACTATATCACACACTAAATTACTGAAAAATAAAAATATAATAGGATAACCAGCATAGCACATCACAATGTTTTTATTATTAAAAAAACCAGGTATAGTTTTTATGAAAAGTCAAACTAGTTATAAACACAATTGTTTTAATGTTTTAAATATCCCTTATTAATCCAAGGACAAATAATTCTAATTCTTATACGTATTGTCCCTTTAAGACATTTCCCATCTATTTCAATCAAGAATAGTTGTAATGCCTATTTCGGTTACAATAAGCCTCCAGCTTCAACATAGGTGGGCTTTGAAATTCACTCTAATTAAAAAACACATTTATGCACATTCCAAAAATCTCCATACCCTGGAATATCTAAAACAGAACAAAAATAAAGGTGCAGTGTGTATCTTAAAATTAAAAATTAACAGAGTCATAACTTTTTTAAATTCTTACATTTTTCTTGCAATAAAAGGTATAAAAATTTCAATAAAAATAGAATACATCTGATTTATGATCTTAATAGGTGAACTATGCAAAAATTAACAAGTTGACCTAAATAGCATATAAGTTTTTGAACATATTTGGGTATTACTTGATAAATATAATAATGAATATCACCCAAAAATTGAACAATAACTTTTTGAGCACAAATCATTTGCCTTTTTTCATCATGGTCTTTATGAGTAAAACTAGGATGAGGTTCTATCTCCGGTTCTACAATATTTGTTTGTAAATTGGCTTCACACATTTCGCTCACAACTCCTTTCATTTTTTTAACCGCAAATGTTTAAAATGTGGATCCATGTATCTCTAGAGTAATAATAGCAGGAAAAACATAAAATTTCTTGTTAGTTTTGTGAGAAAAATACTTACTTCTGCAATTAAAATTTAAATGAATCAGAAGTTACTGATTTTCTTAAGAACCTCTCTATAGTAAAATTAGTTAAATCTAACTTACACTTAATACAATTTACTCACCTACATTTGAAAAAAATATATTTGAAAATGAAAATAATATCAAGCTGACAGCTGACATATTTATAGCAACATAACCTAATTTATTTTCAAAGCCAGATTTACACCATCTAATAATATTTAAATTTAGCTTTAACTTTAAATTTATTAACGATTATCCCTGTATTTGATCACACATTATATTAAAGTGAAATTTCAAGGGGTAAATCAGTAAAATGATTGATTTCTTTGTCATTATTTTTGAAAACATATTTTTTTATGGGTGTAATACGGGCTTGAATTTAGTGATAGCAGCGCGCTAAGCGCTTACGGTTCAACTACCAACAAGGAAACAAGTCCCGCCATTTAATCAAACCTTCTCTTTTTATTTTTCTATGCCCATTACTTCCACAGGTAAAGCGAATCTATCCTAATATATGATCGAATTTCTCAATACTGAATATCATAATAAATGCCTTGTTATGGGCAACTCGTTTAACAGGTCGCTATAATGTTGGTCGCATATGCTGTGGCGAAGCAATATCAATTTATAAAGGTTAATAAATGGAATAAATAAATGATAAGAAAGCCATTGCAGACGTTCTGTAATCTCACCCAGTCTTCATAATAATATTATTACAATGATTTGCCATGTTATAGGCAACTTATTTAACGGGTTGGTATAGTGTTGGTTGCATACGTTCTGGAAACTTGACCATATGACATTTGACATAAAAAAGGCGTCAAAAACGGCTGTGTTATCTAGTCAAAATAAAATAAGATCAAATACAAAATATTTTAATTTTTCGAAGAGAAAATGAGTGATTACAGCAGCGATGATGAATCAAACGAAGAACAGTACGTTTTGTACAAAGATAGACCCGAATGGAAAGATGTAACGCCTGTAAAACAAGACGATATCGACGAACCAGTAGTGGCAATCGATTACACAAAGAAATGTAAGTTATAACCTATACATTTTATAAAATAATCATTTTCCATCGACAATTTTAGTTGAGGATTGCTATGACTATTTTCGAGCTGTGGTACAGAAAAAGGAGATATCCGAACGAGCGCTGGAACTGACACAAACGGCTGCTTGTTTAAATTCCGCGAATTATACGGTTTGGCAGTACAGGTATTTATTTTCGGAAATTCCGCTAAAACCGGATATAATTCGAACGTTTTCAGGCGAGATATACTCAAAGGATTGAACAAAGATCTTCACGCTGAATTAGATTTCATCGAAAAGATCATTATAAAGCAATCGAAGAATTATCAAGTGTGGCACCACAGGAGAGTGCTGGTAGAATGGTTGCAGGATCCTGTGAAGGAAAAGCATTTAACAGAAACTGTTCTAGCTAAAGATGCCAAGAATTATCACGCCTGGCAACACCGGCAGTGGGTTATCAAAACTTTCAAGTGAGTACTTTGTAATTGCCATTCTTTTCCTTTGATTTATTTTGATCTTCTAATTTGCTTATTTTTAAATACATTGAAATGTGTAAAAGGAAATGATTCGTTTTTTTAAAATAAAGTAAAAAAATATTAAATACAGTACTTTGTTCATAATATATTATTAAAAATCGTCCACAAATACAAATAATTCCAAATAATAATTTGGTATGAATACCTAGTATTGGGTCAGTGGTATAGGGGTATCATGTGCCTATATTCATTTAAAGGTAAGTTTGTGGTCAGAAACAGAGCACTTCGAATCCTACACCAGTCCATGTGGATTTTCAATTAAATTGGATGGTTTAGTATAGGATTTGATGTGTGCCATATTAATAGAAATTCAATTTCTGTTTATATGACATGCAGATTATAAAATCACCATGCATTACCACAATGATGGTGGGTGAGGATTTCCGGGTTTTCCTCACCTGTAAGTAAAATGGCACCATCAATCATCTTTAAGTCGCCCCAGAGCGCCACGGCAAATAATAATAATAATAGCCATCCCTTTCCCCACACAAGCTCAGCTTTTGGGGTTAAAATTCACCCGTAAGGGGGTGAATTAGGGAGAGTAATAAGACTTGTAAGAACATTTGAATTGTTATTGATCCTGCCTTTTTCCTAGACATTCAAATTCTTCCTTTATATTTATTCTATATTTAACACTTCTTTTACTTGATTCAGCCTTTTTTCTTGACATGCAAATTTTTCTAATTATTCATCCTTTGTTCCACACATTATTATTTTTATTTGGAATAATATTTTCTTCTCTTCAAAAATATAATCTCTATTTCTTGCATTTTTATTGTTCTTTCATAATTGATTTTGCTCTTATTTCCCCATAACTATATCAAATTGCATAATAATTGTATTTCCTTTGATTGTTATTTTCAAATTCATCACATTGTTTATTTAATATATCTTCTTTCTGTAAGTTCTTCCTTGATCAATGATGTTGAACCCAATGTCTTTCAATATTTTAACCTCCTTATCTTCTATCTCATCATTAATAAGAACTAATATTTTTAAACTATTTACATCATACTTTTTATCTAATGTTATAAAATCTTTAAATGTGGAATGTGCTTTTTTAAAAATCCTTTCATTACCAGACATGATTCTCAATTTGTTTCCCATTCATTGTCTACATCTTGTTTGTATTATTGTTTCTTATGTCTTATATTTTCTTGTCCATTGTATCTCCTCATTTTCTTTTCTTATTGTATATTGATTATTATAAAATATTCTTGTTACATTTATTTGTTTGTTTTGTTCTCTTCTTTGTTGATTGGTTTCTTGTGTTTTGATTATAATAGGTACTATCATTTCCTCTTCTTTCATACTTTTGGTTATGGTTTGGTCTAAATTCTCTATTTCTATTCTACGGTGTGGAATAAATTCGTCACGTCGATTGGTATTTTTAGTTGCTCATTTTTTTTAACAAAAACTTTATACAGGATGTGTCATGTAACATTGGCCAATTCCAACTTTCTTATTTTAAATGCAACACCCTGTATATTTTTCAACTTTTGGATTCTTTAAGACGCCTTGCATAAGACATATTAGATGTCTAATTTTTTCTGAAAAAATGGAACATTTTTAAGACGTTTATATATTGGTCTGTAGAGCTTTAAATAAGACGTCTTTAAGACGACTTATTAATAGCTTATAATAGAGGGGTAAACACATCCAAAAAATGTGTACACAAGAATTCCTAACATTAAGAATACCTGAGAATTCCCAGGAATATCCAGAGACTTCCCAGGTATACCCAGAAAATACCTGAGAGAATAATTGAGTATATCCAGGTAATGCCTGAAAAATATATATGAGAATAACCAAGTATTTCTAAAGGTTTCTCTATAGTAAATAAGGTCCTTAATTAGGACCTTAAATTATTAGGAAAATAAAGAATTGTTCTGGATTTATTAACTCCAATTAGCATTTTTTTCCCTCAATTTTAGATTATATTTTGATTTTGATAAAATATGAGAAATAAAAAGATTAGATATTGACTGTGGGAAAAAATATATTAACTTTGGAAAAAATCATGTTAATAAATAAAACATTTTGCTTCCTTAATATTTGACAAATTAATGCACATATAGACGTCAAAACTAAAAAAAACTTATTTGGTTTTTTATAACATCCCCATAATTTAAATATTTTATAGCCAAAAATTCAAATCTGACAAAAATATCGAAAAAATACGGTTCAAATAAAAATTACTAAGTAATGTTTTATAAATTTTTAATGGGACATTTTTTATTTATTAAAAAAAAAACAATTTTGTATATTTTTATTAAAAACTTGTTACTTATTTAAAATGAAAGAAAGTAATAAAAGATAAAAACAAATTATTTAAAACTCTTAATAAACTGTTGCTTATATTCTTTATGCAGGTATTTTCCTTTTTTCTTCCTTTGTTTCTTTGGATATACTAAACGGTTTAAAACCTAATAAAGTTATTGTATGAATGAAAAGGATGAATTCCTTTTTAACTGTTTGTATATCATCCTTGTTAGGCCAATAATAGTCTTCTTTTAAAAACTTTATCGTATATTAGTCATCATTTCTACTTTTTGTTACTTATCTTTCCGATGTACCGTGAATCATCATAGTAGATGGCCTTAGATGGCGTAATATTTATCAGTTTCTATTAAATTGACAGTGCTTTTCTTGTAATTTTTAGAATCTGAAAATTCTGGGACTCCCTTAACTCTTATAATCCTATCCGAACTTAATTTATTGCATTGATCGTCTAGTAACCAACATAATGTTGTTTTTCTAATTGTTTCAGATTTATTTCTGGGCACTACATTTTTTTTTTTTTTTGTTTTAGAATCACTAAAATTCAGAGAAGTAAAGTTTTTTCAAAATATTTCCTTTAGTTTTTCACATGGTTAAGAACTAAATAGATATGGTAAAAACATTTCTTTTGAAGTATTTTCATTAATTTGTTTATTTTCTTTAAAAAAATTATAATAACATGTGCATTAAGTTGCACACATAAGTAGCTATTTAATATTGTGATGTTTGTTTACTTTAAAACAACAGTTTATTAATTAATAATTTATTTAAATGCTTATTTATTTTACAACACTACTATTCTAATTTATATACAGGGATTTCATTTCAAAACTAGCCACCCAAAATAACTTTTAAAATATCTTTAAAACAAAAAAACACATTAATTTATATTTACGGGGGGACACATTTTACAAGTATCTGTAACCGTGCAGTTTCATCCCCTAAGCGGTGGTGAATATCACTTCTAAAATTTTAAATAGAAAGGGGTATCATGTGATAGCTCTTCTTAAAGGTCTCTTTTTTTTTCCAATCTTTTGACACATTATTTTTTTAAATCGGATTAATTTTTCACCAAGTTATGTCATTTTAACCTTTTAAATTAAAATAATTATTATTTACATTGTATTTACATTATTAATATTTTATTTGCGTAAGAATTACATTGTACTTAAATAAGATGTTCAAAATGTCCGCCATTGTTGGCAAGGCAATGGTAAAGTCGCAGCTCGAATTCATCCCGCACTTTTTGAAGCGTCTCTGGTGTAATCCGCTCACACTCCTCCACTATTCTACGTCTAAGTTCAGAAATATTGCGAGGTTGAGTTTTATACACCACAGTTTTTAGATGTCCCCATAAAAAAGTCAAGGGGCGTTAGGTCGGGTGATCTCGCTGGCCATTCTATAGCGTCCCTTCTTCCGATCCATTTATCTGGAAATGTCTCATTAAGCCAATTTCGTACAGGCAAGGCATAATGTGGAGGTGCTCCGTCCTGTTGAAAAAATAGGTTTTCTTTGTCTAGTAACAAATTTCCATCTTGATCTATTTGGTTTTCTAAGGATTCGGTTATAAGAGGATTTATCAGATTTTCTAATAAGTTCAAATACAATTCCCCAGTTAAATTTTCCTCCATGAAAATAGGACCAATAATTTTATTACCAAGAATTCCGGCCCATACGTTGATTTTTTGAGGATATTGGCTGTGCTCTTCCCGAAAAACATGTGGATTTGTATTGTCCCAGTACCTACAATTATGTTTATTGACAAATCCATTTAAAAAGAAACCTACCTCGTCAGTAAAACAAATATTTTTAATAAAATTATGGTCTTCATTTGCCCTTTGAGTCATTAATTCGCAAAATTCTAATCTTCTGTCATAATCATCCTTAGCAAGCTGTTGTAAAAGCTGTATTTTGTAAGGAAAGAATTTATTTAGCCGTAACGTTTTATGCACAGAGCCAACGGAAATATTTGTTAATCTGGAGATTTTTGATATTGATGTTTGAGGTTCCATGGCAAAATGATCTAAAATCTCAACTTGTGTAGCTTCAGTTAAAACTCTACGATTCCTTACAGTTTTATTGCACACACTTCCAGTTTCTTGAAATTTATGAACTAAATCCAACACATACTGATGCCCAACATTTTTATCGGGATGTCTCTGATTAAAAACACGAGCAGTTCTGTGTGCACAGCGTTGTTCTTCACCATAAATAAAGATTATTTCAATTCTTTCTTGTAAAGAATAAACTATTGTCAAAATTAAATTGTCAGTACACAACGAAACCAATAATCTACTAATAAATAAATTGTTTTAATTTACGGTCAAAAATATCTTACGCAAAAAACATTTAAGGCTTGTTTATATTCAATATTTTTAATTTTTTCCGTTTTCTAGGTTATAACTTGGTGAAAAATTAATTCGATTTAAAAAAATAATGTGTCAAAAGATTGTAAAAAAAGAGACCTTTAAGAAAAGCTATCACATGATACCCCTTTCTATTTAAAATTTTAGAAGTGATATTCACCACCGCTTAGGGGATGAAACTGCACGGTTACAGATACTTGTAAAATGTGTCCCCCCCGTAAATATAAATTAACGTGTTTTTTTGTTTTAAAGATATTTTAAAAGTTATTTTGGGTGGCTAGTTTTGAAATGAAATCCCTGTATATTTCGAATGTCTCTAAACTGTTCACGATTTATCTTCACTGTCCATATAATAACTGATACCGCGTTATTCTCCACCAATATTTATATACCAATTTAAAATTATGGTGAAGGTTCCTTCAGGTTCTAGAACGTTCTCGCCAAAAATTAGAAACACTATCACGTTTTACCTGGAAAAGTCTCGAAAGCACCTCCGCCATAGTCGTCACATAGGTTTGGTCTTAAGGGGTTTAATTATGTATAATAATCGGACAAGTTGAGCCTCAAAGGCCAAATAAGACAGAGAGGGACTTGGAGGGTTAGAGCATGACTGAATAATGAAATGGCTCACATAACAATATTATAAAATTATTTGATAAACTTAGATTTTTTTCAGAGATTATCCATCGCCTCCAAATTCGTAAAAAGAATACAACATACCACATACAATAAATTCTAGTATAAATAAAATCATTTTTATCCAAAACCGCCATTTTGATCTTGTTCATTAAATTTAAGTATTCGACCGTTCTTAGTGCATCAGGTTGAGTTTTTAACAAATTTTGTACCATTTCAGAACACATCTCTGCAGATTTATAATTCATTTTATCATTTAAATTAAGATCAGATGGTTTTAGCAGATGTTTACCATTGGTGAATCTTGTTATCAGATCAACAAAATCATTTTTGGAAACTTCAAAAGACCCTATTACCTTTTTTATCTGTTTTTTTTTATTTTCATTTTCTCTTTGTTTATTGAATTCTTCACTGGTGCCTTCGTCATTCTGGTTACGAAGGTATGATTTCAGCAGTCTAGTCCTGAATTTCGTCATTATGTGTACATAATCTTGGATACAACAGTGCCCATTAAGAAACATTGTAATTCCGTGTTAGCTTGCTTCTTTTTCTAAAAAGTCCCATCTTTTAAGAACCTCGTCGTAAGTAAATCCATTATTTGTTCCAAACAAATTAAGTATAAATGAAGCTTTGTGATCTTTTAATGGTTGTGCCATAATAACATAGGCATACTTAGCTCAAGGAGAATTTTCAAAATAACTTTGAATAGTAGCTGCATTTGTGGCAGGATATGAATTTGTTTTTTGGAAAACCTGTGTCGTCAAAAGCACTTACAAATCCAACTAAGCTGTCATTTTCTTTGTTTGTAATTCCAGTTCCATCTTCGCTAATTCTGACATATTGGCAAATTATTATTTATGAGATATTCTCTTAATTCTTTTATACGCACATTTAACTCCATAAACAATGGTAATTTTTGTATATACTTTCAAATGGACTAATGGTCCAGTAATTATATATAAATAAATGGCGAACATTAATAAATCATTATCGAACGTACAGTTCATCAAATTTCTAGAGGCTTTCGACGGCTAGACAGAGAAAGCACTACTGACAGGCATCTCGACGGATTTACGCAATGAAAGTACACTCTGCGCATCAAGTATTTCACTATTTCATTCAGACGTAAATGTCAGATGTAAATTTCGCTAAAACATTTCTTTTATTTTCGTTTGTGTTTTTTGCTCATTACAGTTTAATAGAACCTAAGTATGGAGTTTAATAGCAAATTAAGAGGCCGCGTGATTAACAGTCAATCTCGCGAAATAATAGCCAATGTTATAGAGTTTATGAGAAGAGAAGGACACTTTAATTCACCATCAATACCATTTAAAAATGTAAATGATCGTGTTGCTGCAGCCACAGGAGTATCTAAAAACACTGTCGTCCGCATTTCTGGAGAGAAAAAAAGAATCGATAACCGTGAGATATCGGAATTTTCATCGCCAAGAAAAACCATTAAAAAACCAAAAACAGTTAATGATATAGATGAAGCTGCACAAGAATCAAATTTTATTTTTTTATTATTAGATAGCTATTTTTGTTTCTGAGTTGTGTTCATTTACAGGCTCAATTTTTTTCCGTTTCTCCTTTTTGATTTTATATGGGGTTTCAAGTTGTTTTTGACTTATTTCGACGTAAATCACAACAACACACTTTTTTAATAAAGCAAACAAGTGTTAAGAGGTATATGTACGTGTAAACTACAATTACAAAAAATTGATATGAAACCCATGAAACCACCAACAAAAATGTAAATCTAGCTTCCGTACTAGAACATGGTGTCATTCGTCGAGATAATTTATTGTTTTGTTTAATAGATCAAGAAATGTAAATATTCCCCTGTTATTTTTTATAAAATTATAAGAGAAATAAATTTTTTTCTAAATAGTATAGTTTATTATTTTGTAGAAAAACAAAATTTCGAAAATTTTAGTAATGTTTCAGAAACAACCGTTATTAATAATAGGTACCATTTTCCTTAATAAGGTAGAAATAAAATATAAACTATTTCCACGATTTACAAAGGCCTACAAAAAAATTATAGGTATTTTCCGCTATCCTATAAAATTTATATTTTCTGACTCAATTTCAAAAGGTTGAAGGAATTCCAAAACACCTTTTATGGCATAATAATTATTTTCAATTCTACATACTATCTTTAGCTGCTTTTAAAAACGTTCTAAGAAAGTCCAATCAGACCAATTTAATCCCTAAACTATTCCACACTTTTAAAATTTAATTACCTAAAAATATTAAAAACTATTTAAAATAACTTGTTTAGCAGACTATACAATAGCTATCTTAGTCACACGTAGCGCGTTCTCTGTCTGGGCGTCGAACACCTCTAGAAATTTGATGAACTGTATTTCTTTTACTTCTTAAGTTTTCTGATGCAGCATTTTGTACCATCCTTAAAAAAAGTTGTAATGTTTTCATTGTCCTGTATTCTAAACTAATTGCTTTTATTTCACAATATTATATTACATTATATAAAAAAATCCTAATTAAAAAAATTCATATCATATACAGGATGTTGTCTAACGATTTGCTAATATTTAATGTTGTGAATCTACGTAAATCCCTAATTAACTTTATAAACTAATGGTTTTTATTTTTTTACTCAAAAAACACAGGAGAGCTGTTATGTTACAAATTGAACGGGGAATACAAAAAAATTTATTTGAGAAAGAACCAGCCTTTTTTGTTTTTTCTTCAAAAATATCGAAGTCAGTGTCCGTACGCACGTCACTGTTAAATCTGAAAATTATATTCGTATTGAAAAATATTTAACTTTATTAACAGTTATTACTCACCAAATATTAAAATATTTCAAGCTATTTCAAAAATATTTATTATTTTTCTTTTTTTTTTTCTTAAACTTTAGAATCCCGTATTTTCGTAACAGAACATTTTTAAACCATAGTTTATAAAACAATCATTAATTTTTCATGTAGATTCACACCCTTATATGCTCTACGTTCCGGTATTTACGTTCAGAGAGCGCAGTCGGGTCGGTGGCGTACCTGTTTAACGCGCTTATATTCATTTATAGGCAAGTTTGTGGCTTCGAATCCTACACCAGACTATGTGGATTTTTATTTGCATGATTGGTTATAGGATTTGATGTTGATATGACATCCAGATTATAAATCGCCATGCGTTACCGTCTAGATGATGGTGGGTGAGGTTTTCCGGGTTTTCCTTATCTGTAAGTCAAATAGCTCCATCAATCATCTTTAAGTCGCCCCGGAGCGCCACGGCAAATAATAATAATAGCCGTTCTTTCCCTTACACAAGTCGCTCAGTTGGCTTCAGGGGTTGAAATTCACTCCTAAGGAGGTGAATTAGAAAGAGTATTATTATTATTATTTTATTATTATTATTATTATTATTATTATTATTATTATTATTATTATTATTATAGTCCGATTTTTAAATAGTCAAACCCTGTAATATCGCAACTGCCTGTGTCTTACACGAATCCATCAAGTTTAATTTTTTTATATAGAGTACATAAGATTACTAAATTTTCAATAAAATTGCAACAAGGTCCTCAATTTTCCTCTGAAGACAGTTGAATATTTCTTGTTTCCAGCGGGATCTTTTTTAATTACTGCCCCTCTCAGAATCCTAAAATTTGTCTTGAAAATTTTGAAGAGGATTCCTTTGAAATATCTAGGCCTAGAGCAAAACATAATAGCGCAAGGACAAAATAGCGCAAAGGAAAAAAAGCGCAAAGGCAAAATAGCGCAGACACAATAGCGCATCGACAAAATAGCGTAGGGCAAAATAGCGCAAGGACAAAATACACGGAAAGCAAGTTAGAGCCTGAAATAAATAAAGTGAGACAAATTAACGCCTGGTCAAATTATAGTGAGTCAAGTAGCGCTTAGTCAAAAAAAGAGCGAGACAAATTAGCGCGAGACAAAATATTGCAGTATTCTAATTAAATTAAAAAAAAAACAACTAATTTACATAACCTGTGGGCATGAGTCATCACGGGTTGCTGTATATGGCTCCAGGCCACACAGATCAGGTAGATTAGTTAACTTTTTTTAATTCTAATACTGGAAAATTGTGATATGCGCTAATTTGTCTCGTTTGTTTTTTCACTAAGTGCTAACTCTCACTTTATTTAATTCAGTCGCTAACTTGTCTCACTTTATTTATATCAGGCCCTAACTTGATTCTCTTTATTTATATCAGGCACTAACGTGTCTAACAAGTATTTATCTGAGCGCGAATTTGTCGCAGCATATTTGTCCTGCGCGAAATTGTTTTGTGTTAAAATTGATCATATCTGATATTGTAGTCGTACACTATTTTGTCCTTCGATATTTTGTCCTTGCGCTATTTTCCCTTGTGCTAATTTATACCGCGCTATGTTGTTCTTGCACTATTTTGTCTGCGACATTTTGTCCCGCGCAATATATATGGTTTCCAGTGGTATCTTTTTGAATTCCTGTCCTCCAAGATGCCTAAAATCTGACTTTTGAAAATTTAGAATAGGACGCCTTTGTAATATCTAGACTCTATAACAAAACCGTGCAAAATGGTGCAGGACAAAATAGCGCAAGGTCAAAATACATGAGAGACTAGTTGCGTCTGATATAAATAAAATTAGACAAAACAACGCCTGTTCAAATTATAGTAAGTCAAGTTTGCGCTTAGTCAAAATTGAACGAGACAAATTAGTGCGAGACCCATTATTGCAGTATTGTAATTAAAATAAAAAAACAACCAATTTACGTTACCTACGGGCATGAGCGATCGCGGGTTGCTGTATATGGCTCCAGGCTGCACAGGTTAGGTGGATTAGTTTTTTTTTTATAATTAGAATATTGGAATATTTTGTCATGCGCAAATTGGTCTCACTCTTTTGACTAAGGGCTAACTTTTCTTACTCAATATCATTCGCTAACTTGTCTCCCTTTATTTATATCAGGCGCTAACTTGTCTCTCTATATTTATGTAAGGCGCTACCTTATCTCTCATGTATTTGTCGCAGCCTATTTGTCTCGCGCGAAATTGTCTCTGTCTAAAATTGATCATATTTTGTGCAATATTTGTCCTTGCGCTATATTTTCTTTGCTATATTTTGTCTTGCGTCATTCTGTCCTTGTGCTACTTTGTCCTGCGGTATTTTGTCCTTGCACTATTATATCTATGCATATTTCGCTGTCCGATTTCAAAACTGTAACATGTCAAAAATTTTAGAAGTTGAGATAAGAATGTATTCTTATAGCAAGTAGAGCAAGATCTATACAGTTCAACACATATCTCAAAAGATTTTGTTTCAACATTTTCTTCTACAAAATCTTTTGTGATGTGTAGTCGAATATCTATTATTCATTTTAGATTGTTCGATGGAGAACTGGAATACGTGAACACCCTCTTGACGGACGATGTTCGAAACAACTCGGCATGGAACCAAAGATACTTCGTCATCAACAACACGACCGGTTTCACGGAAGACGTCCTTGACAGAGAGATCGATTACACTCTATTTCACGCCAAAGCGGTGACGGAAAACGAAAGCGCTTGGAACTACTTACGCGGCCTCTTACTGCACGACAAAGGCGGGCTCAGTAAAAACAAGAAAGTCACCGAATTCGTCGAAAATTTATACGAATCTGGTAATAGATCACCATTTTTGTTAGCCATCATAGTGGACATGTGCTACGAGCAAATTGGAGACGGTGGTGGTGACTCCAAATACTCGTTGCAACGTGCTAAGGAATTGTGCGAAGCTTTGATCGGAAAGTACGATACTATTAGAGCTAATTATTGGCAACACATGTTAGATACTCTTCAGAGTTCTTGTAAGGACGAAGCGGGTGCTAGTACTAGTGGTAATTGAATCAAAAACATAGATTGATGGGAGACAATTTGCTTTATTTGCTGAAAATGATTGTAGGCTTGTTATTGACTTTTTCGAGAATGTGTCACCCTGTGTGCACGTCAGTCGTTGTTCATGCTGCTGTATCTACAGGGTTATCTACGTTGAAGGTTGATTTTCTTGAGATTTTTTTTTATGTGAAATTATTTATGGAAAAATCTTAGAATGTTTTCACAACACTATAAATACCACTAAAAGCATTTTTTGCAGTCCCTCATGTATTTTTTTTAATAGGTGTTTTTAATGCTGCCAACTTCGAATGTTTGTTTTTACTTCATCTTCAGACACAGCTTGCTTTTCTACATTTACATTTTTTGTTTTGCACAATGACATTTCTTTATTTTGACATTGACGTTATTTGACGTTGACGTTGAGATTGACACTTCTTGGTCTTGACTTTAAGGTAAGGTCCGATATTAACCGACTACTAACCGCAAGTAACCAGGATTTTTTAACAGTGATTCCTGAAAAAAACTAATTTCATGGTTACATTTGGACCACGGCCTAGCTTTACGTCACTTTTGTGACATATTGACATTCGACTTAATAGTAACCGTAAAATATAGCGGTTAGTGAATTGACGTTTGAGTCACCATTTTCAGGTAACCTCGTCCCTAATTTAACCGATTTTTCAGGAATATCAAGCAAAGTGGTTAGTTTTGGACCGAGTAACCGATATTTCGGTTAATAACGGACTATACACTTACATTTCTTGATTTTGATGTTGACATTTCTTGGTCTTGACTTTCACTGACATTGACATTTCTTGGTCTTGATTTTGTCATTTCTAGGTCTTGACTTTGACATTTCTTGGTCTTGACTTTGACATTTATTGGTCTTGACTTTGACATTGATCTTTCTTGTTTTTGACATTAACATTGATATTTCTTGGTCTTCACTTTGACATTTCTTGATTTTGACATTGACATTGCTTATTTTTGACGTTGACTTTGACATTTCTATGTCGAAGTAGCCTATGTAATATAGCGATGTTATGCTGTGCCTGAAGATAAGAATTAGAGTGTTAGATATAAAAGACTTCTTTTTTCCTTTTTGTCGATCCTCTGTTCATTTTTTTTTTTACTTTAAAAACTTTTTTTTGTGTTTACACTTAATACACCAGAATTAAAAATGGCCACCTTATCGATGCCGTTAACACCAATAAAATAAAAATGGCGGCAGCTAAAATATTTTCTTACATTTTTGATATTATTGTAAATCTAAACGCGAACATTTTAATAAATAACTCAAGAACGACGCATCGTGTAGTAAAAACAGTAAGTACCAATTTTGTAGATTATAAAATGTTCCATTTTTTTTTTTTTTTTTTAGTTTGGAACTTTTCTTTGTAAAATTTATATTTCTCGATTTATAACTTGTTTTTTTTTGTTAATTAAATAATCTGAACTTTTAACAAAAATAATCCTATGTGACTACTAAAAATACCAAATATTTTATTTTTGTGTACAGGGGTTGTGCAAAATTTATTCCCTTTATGTATGCTTCGAATTGAAAATACTATCTTATAAACAACATGTTGTATATCAATTTCTATATGTGACTACAAAAAAATATCAAATTTTTAATTTTTGTATACAGGGGTTGTGCAAAATTTATTTTGTTTATGTATGTTTCGAATTAAAAAAAATTATCCTGAAAACAACACTCCGTATATACATTTCTATTCTTGACTGCAGAAAAATACCAAATATTTAATTTTTGTATACAGGGATTGTGCAAAATTTATTTCCTTTACGTATGCTACAAATTGTAAAACTGATACCTAGAACAAAATATTCTATATATAATTTCCATATATCGAATGGTTCTCTGTAATAGTGACATAACTAAAAATTTAATAATAACAAGAAAGCGATTTAAAGACGTGCTATACATAATCCGATACAAACCTTAAATTAGTGGCATATTTTAAAAATTACATTAGTGCTACTATTCAGATTACATTTTATGTTAAATAAAGACATAATTAAAATGAAATAAATCGTTTCATGAATAGTGACTCAACTCAAAATGAAACCTAAAGCGCATTCTTAATCAATAAATATTTTATATAGAATAGCAACACTTAAATATTACTAACATACAATAAAATTAACAAGTAAAATTTACCTACTCAGTTAAGAATAACGGCTCAACGCGAAATAAGCCACAATCAATAGTCTATTCGCACATTTAATAACAACAGAAAATATGGCGTTATTCAATAACAGGTCACTTACACGGTGGAAATTTTTAACTTATGTCAGTATTCACGAAACGGTAGATCAACCCTTGATGGTTCCGTCATAACTGCGAGAACTGTGTCATTGTTCAGTAAACGATACGACAAACTTTGAATGTCGGGACAACGACACAAATGCGCACCCTAGCGGTTGGGTGGCAAGTATGGATTATGTCGTTTTTGCACCTAATCCATTATTAAACTAAAAAATCTGAAATTTTGAATTATGTCGTTAATACAGAGAAGCATTAATTATGACTACAAAAAAAACAATTATTCGATTTTTGTATATGAGGATGCTGTTTTTTACCAAAATCTGTACCGAGGTCTATATTTTGTCATTGTTAACACCCTGTATATAAATTTCTATACGTGACTACAAAAAATAGCAGATAAATAATTTTTGTATACAGGGGTTGTCCAAAATAACAATTTCTATATTTAACTGCAAAAAATACCATATAAATTATTTTTATATACAAAATTTATTTCGTTTTTATATGCCCCTAATTGAAAAATTGATTCTGAAAACAATATCAATTTCTATATTTCACCCCAAAAAAACATTTAATTTTTGTATACAGAGGTTGTGCAAAATTTATTTCGTTTATATTTATTCTGAATTGAAAAAATGATTCTGCAAACAACACCCTGTACATCAATTTCTATGCGTGACTGCCAAAAACAATTATTTTTGTATACAGAAGTTGTACAACATTTACTCTTCTACCTCATGGAAAATTATTCAAATTGTAGGCCATTATTTTTTTTTATAAAGCGCACAAAATGTATTTTTTGTTGTAAATTGAACGCCATAGAAGGTACAATTTTTTAACTTGTATTACTGTCCGTTTCAAAAATATTGATCCCTCCATTTGCAACCTTATATTGATGGGTGGCATTTTTTGTTATCGGGAGTCAAATGCAAGGATTAAGACGTTTGAAATGGACCGTAGATATACATTCCAGAATTTTATATAATCATTATATGTTGTCTATAATAAGGATCTTTTCAAAAAGGCAGATTCTTAAAATTTGTCTGTTTTTTATGGAAATATTCTTAAAATTCGTATTTTTTAAATAGATGTTTCGGAAAAACTGCTTTACTTAAAGGCCGATTCGTATGGTAAAACTAAAAATGTCTAAATGAAATTTTGAATTTTTATGTAAACGTTACCTAATTTTCTGAAATAAAATCGTAAGAAATTATTAAGGCTTGATTTATTATCCATTTATGACCTTCAAATGGATCTGAAAATAACTTCTATGTATGATGTCTAAAGATAGGACAAAAGAACCTTTAAAATATTACGATTATAATTCTATTAAAACAAATTATTTTTAAGTATGAAATAAAATCACAAAATCTGTACCGAATATTAAAAAAAAAAAACCAAAGATTTTATTTCATTTTTAAGCTCTGGTCGTCTAGCGGTCAAGACATTAGAACGAAAATCCAGAAGACGCGGATTCAAGCCTCGCTCAACAGAATTTTTTCAGTTTTTTAATTTTTATTTGGTTTTTTATCGCCCCCGATCTTTATTTGTTTTTTGTAACTGCTAAAGAAAGTAACACATTTTGTATATTTACATATACATATACATTATTAAATACTTGTACAAACTTTAAATGGTGAATCTTTGACTTATTTTAAGGCAAAACGTTCATATGAACACATGTCCTAAACCTCTTAACTTTTGAGCTACAGGGTGGTAAAGTTTTTAGAAAAAAAATTTTTTTTTCCAATAACTAAGAATATTGCAGATATTTTTACGAAATTTGGTATACGTCTCCTACGCATTATGATGCATTTTTTAATGTACAAATAATTTTATTATTTCTAGTGCCGCCCGTATGGGTTTCGTATTAAATATTTTTGCCGAAAAAAATAGTACGCCACTGCTTCATCTTAAAATAACGAATATTTTTGCAATCCTCATTTAGTTTTGAGCAAATTTGGTCTGATGAGTTTTTTTCTCCGACGCATAGTATTCTGCATGGAACAAGTGAAAAATGTGTCTTTTATTGATCAATATTGTTATGTGATAAACTTAGATTATTTGCAGACTAAGACTAAACTACTTTTACAAATAAGTTAATAACATTTACAACAATTGCTGAAAATGTCCGCCGCCTACTGCAACGCATGCGTCAATTAGCCTTAACATTGATTGACGTACTCTTTCGAATATACCTGGTGTCTGATTAATAATGGCACACGATTCAAATATCCTGTTTCTTAGATCTTGCTCATTTTGAACGGATGTTTTGTAAACTAGTGTCTTTAAGTGACCCCACAGAAAAAAATCCAGAGGATTTAAATCTGGTGATCTGGGAGGCCAGGCTTGTGGTTCCGCTCTTCCTATCCAACGATTAGGATAATTCTCGTTCAGAAATTGACGTGCAGCCAAACAAAAGTGTGCCGGTGCGCCATCGTGCATGAACCACATCCTGTTTCTGGTAGCCAAATCAATTTCTTCTAAATGTTCAGGAAGCTCGTGCTCCAAAAATCTTCTGTACTCTTCGCCATTTAGCCTTTGTGAAAGAATGCACGGTCCAATAAGGTGATCCCCGATAATTCCGACCCAAATATTTAGAGAAAAACGATCTTGGAAATTATTTTCTATGATAGCATTGGGATTATCCTCAGACCAGATATGGTTGTTGTGGAAGTTCATGATGGCGTTTCAAGAAAAAGAAGCTTCGTCTGTAACAAGTACATGGCCTAAGAAATCCGGGGTTGTTAATAATTTATTTCGCAGCCAAACGCAGAAATCTACTCTGAGAGGAAAATTTCTAGGTAGTAATGCCTGTACACGTTGAATATGATAAGGATAAAGTTGTTGAGATTTTAAAATTTGCCACACAATTGTATGCGTAATATTCAATTCATGAGCAATTTTCCTTGTACTAGTTTGCGGATCTTCTTCAATTCTATTTAACACAGCTTCTTCAATTTCAACTGTTCGAACTGTCGTGGGCTTACCTGGGATATCAATTGTTCTTTTAAAGCTGCCAGTTTCACAAAGTCTTGCGTGAATATTAATGAAAGTGTGGACATGTGGAACCACCCGTTGAGGAAATCGGGCTTGATACATTCTTTTTGCAGCTTGTGCATTATTGTGAGCCATTCCGTAGATGAAATGAATGTCTGCCATTTCTGCATTGGTATATTCGTACATTTTGAACACAATAATAGACAATACATTATTACATACATACATTTTTAAATGACAAAAACCATGATCTTTTTTTTTAAATAAACTGTCATGGCTGATTCCGCTACCATGGAAACCTCTCGGTTGTTTGCAAGGCTTGCTATGCATGTATGTACAATTGTACATTTTAGCAATTTGACTCTGAAATAAAACGGATTTTATTTTTTAAAGCGTAAACTATGCATCGAACGAAAAAACTGAAGAGATTGAATTTGTTTAAAAATAAATAAGGATTTCAAAAATAATTTTTGTTTTAAGATTAAGCAGGGGCATACTATTTTTTCTGCAAAAATATTCAATACAAACCCCGTAGGTATGGACGCCACTGGTAGAAAACATAAATTTGTACATCAAAAATGCATCTTAATGCATAGTATACGTGTACCAAATTTCGTAAAGATATCTACAATAGTCTCACAGTTATTGGAAAAAATAGATTTTTTTCTGAAAACTTTTACCACCCTGTAGCACAAAAGTTAAAGAGGTTTAGGACACGTGTTCATATGAACTTTTTGCCTTAAAATTAGTCGAAGATTCACTATTTAAAGTTTGTACAAGTACTTAATAAACACCCTGTATAAAGTGATGGAAATATCCCAATTCTTCTGACAAAACAGTATCGCATTTTTAGTTACAGTTTTTTTTTACTTGCAGTAGCCATCGTTCCATCTTGCCAACCGTTTCTGTTACTTCCCTTACTATATACTCCTCGACCTACCCGACCTCGAGTTTCAACCAAATACAAAAACTATAGAGAGGCCAGCTGGGAAAGATATTCAATATCACTTGGAGAGTATCTCGAAGAGGGTATGGTGGAAATAACAGGTGAACAAAGCCTCAACCGAGCAGTAGACCAAGTAAGGCCATTATAACCGCTTACGAGGAAAACTGTCCGGAAAAACAAGACAGCAAAGAACGAAAACAGTAGGGCTAAGCTTATGCGGTACAACAATGAGATAAGAAAGGCTAAAAAACATTCGTGGATGAAGTTCTGTGAGCGGTTATCTGAAACACACATATTCTAGAATCCACAAAGTCCTAGTTAAAGAGGGTACTGCATACCAGGTAGAATTTCTCAGGAAGATGAAACCTCTACAAAAACCTTCGAGGAAACGTTAACAATGCTCACAGAAGTACACTTTCCGATCGCATATATTTTATTAGACCCGATAATAAAATATAGTCCTCAAAGAAAGTTTTGTAGGCCAATTCCTTTGGAATGGAGGCTAGCTACATAAATACCGAGGTCAAACAAAATTAGATGGGCTACAAACAAATTTCAACCATACAAATCCCAATAATCCACAATAAGCTTGGGCCATAAAAATTTTTGGCTTGGGCTTAAATGTACTTCTTCTTCTTATCTTCGTTTTATACGGGCTCAATATTTGAGAATTATTTACCCAGCACTATTTATTTTTTCAAATTTAGTTAAGTGGAAAGGCTGCACCCTTCTGTCTTCACTTTTCCACTGCACTTGATATTTAATTTCAATATTCTTCTCCACATATTACACTGAATATTTTGTTTAATTTTGTATACTTTTTAAAGTCGGATGGTCACTTTTATACTAGATATTTTGTGATTTTTATGGGACTTCTGGGCTCCTGATTCGGAGACCGTCATTTCAATGTTGCCACGATGGTGTCCGAATTAGAAGTCTGGCTTGAATGTAATGTTAAGTCAAACGTCAAACTTCACTTCATGTGATTCTTCTTGTTAAATTTGAATTATGTAAACCGTGCAAGTTTCCGTCCGACTGAAAGACGTTTGTAAGACGTCTTTAATATTTCACATTAATGTATGGATTTGGTAAGACGCCTTTAAGACGTCTTAAGAACGTCTATGAGATCTCACATTAATACGTCTGAATTATGGCTTTCTGTGCTATCTGGGTATACACGGTTATAATACATTACTTATACGGAGATAGATCATAAAGAGTAACTAATGCATCTGTTAAAAAATGCTTGTCATTTTTGAACAATGTCTTTGTTGGAATGTGAAATCGTATAACTGTATATTACTTATAAAATGAACATGCAACACAACATCAAGAATTACGTACTACAAAAATTTAATTTTGTTTTATTATGATCCTATTTTATTTGTAAATATATTTTACAATAAGCAGATTAAAACAATTCATAAATAAAAAATATATATTTTTAATTACAATAATTAAGTACAAAGTATTTTTTTTTATAAAAAAAACGATCATCACTTATTTAATCTTAATAAATAATTTATTTATTAACAATAAAGGAGCGAAAAGTAGGTAAACACGTAGCTTTTAACGCTACAAATACTTTTTAACGAAAACTTGACATCTACGAATTCTTAGCAGGCACAGCCTGAACCACCGCCTTCACTTCAGTGTACTGTTGCAAACCATACTCGCTCAACTCCCTACCAAATCCAGAATCTTTGTACCCTCCGAACGGACTTTGGGCCGCGAACACGTTGTAGCAGTTCACCCAAACAGTACCGGCCCTCAAACCTGCAAAAAAATGCAATTAATCAAAAAACAATGGTTAGGTACTGTTAATACGATCACTCTGACCTATGAAACGTACCTTGCGTAATGTAATTAACCTTGTTAATGTCATTTGAGAATACGGCAGACCCAAGTCCATAGCTGGTGTTGTTCGCTCTTTCGATAAGTTCATCCAAATCTTTGAAACGAAGAATTTGCTGCACCGGCCCGAAGATCTACAAAAAAAAAACGTTTATTAAGGACTATAAGAGACGACGACGTCTAAATACGTCGAAACCAAATGGGCTAACCTCAAATATATGAACTAATAAAGGCACAAGTGACGCAGAGAAATGGGGACTTGTAGCGACATACTTGCACTACATATCTTTATTATTTTTATTACGTTATACACATTAAATTGCTGTCATCATTTAGATAACCTTTCGTGCAGTTTTAGCAAAGTCAAAAGGTTGAAATCACGGCGAGGGAAACAAAAAAATTGCTTATAATAATTACGACTTCTATTTTATTATTTTATATACAAGACATGTCATTTTTGTTCTTCGAATTAAAATATACCTTATACATCTCCAGCAGTACTAGTTTATTTATAACGGGATTAAAAGCAATAAATATCCCACAGTTAACAAGACTTTTCTTCTTTTTTTCTGATATAGGCAGAGGTGCACTATATTTTTTCTTTGATTCTGGGTTACCAAGGCATTCTTTTTGTTGTTCTGCTATTTATTGTTTTTTTTTTATCCAAGTTTGGTTTCAAAGCAGTTTCCAAATTTCTTTTGGATACTCGCAGAGGTGTATATTTTTTCATGTTTGGTTTCGTATTAGTTCCTTTTTTTTTCAAGCGCAACTATTGGAGCGTCAACTGGCATTTCACTAAAGTTTTGTTGAGCACGATCTTCTTTATAAAAATAGTCATCGGGTACGTTTTCTTGAATTGAAGCATCTTAATCTTCATCCAGTTTTTTGTATTTCCTGCTTTATCCTGAGACATTTTTTAATTAGTTAAAGATATTTTCAGTGCTTTTAGATAAAAAATGTCACTAAAAGGAAGCTCCTGAACGAAATAAGGCTTTTTTTCGACGAGCACTCTTAATGATAGTGGGCCATTCATGTGGGGTGTAGATTCTTTGGTGTTTTTTGTTAGTTTCGATGGCGCTATGCATCGAATCTACCTCCATATCAGTATGACCTGTCTCTAGAAAATTATGATCAATTACTTCTATTGGTAGTTGTCTGACATAATACAAAAGTAGGGCAGCAAGAAACCGATTGCGATTTTGACCTCTACACGAGTCCGAATATAAAGAAACATGTTGCATTGTGCCCTCTACACCTACCTTAGTAGGTGTAGAGGGCAGTTCCAATTTCATCAGACCCTCTTTTACCATCTGTTTTTACCCAAAAGTAAGAGTATCCTTCTTTGTATGAACAAAATTTCAATTCATAGTAATAATGTGATTTTTCTGAATAGGGCGTATACAAAACTGATTGCAAACTGACCGAAGTTACAAAACGGTACACTGAAAACACCAAGCTGTCGCTTCTCCTTGATCGGTATTCTCGGATGCGACTCTATGGGCAAAGACAGGTTATTTTTCATCTCACTCGGGAGTATTTATAACAAACATTTTCTATTTCACTTTGTTATTGTCTGATCCATCAGCTTGTGGATTGAACAATAACAATGTGAAACAGAAAATAGTTGTTATTAACACTCCCGAGTGAGATGAGAAATAAAAATAGCTGCCATCTTGTTCTATTGATACAATATGCACATTGGCTTTCTACCCCACTCCAGTTCATTGATCTAGTAGAAGAAGCTAACCAAAAAACGTACAATTTGAATAATTTATATTGCTTCGTCTTTTTGTATAAATTGAACAAAAATGTCTAACGCATGTAGGAATAAAGAAGGAAGTCAATGAACACGACATCTGACAGCAAATGGAATGTCAAAATTGTTAAAAAATGTCACATTTTATAAAAAATCTCGGGTTACGTAACCACTAATCCAATTGCACAGCAAGAGAATTTGACTTAACCATTGGTTAAAAATTAATCACTAGTTACAAAACATATCGGTTAAACAAAATCAATAGAAACAAAAATTAAAACAAAAAAAAGACAAAAATTTATCTCAAAAAAATGGTCATCTAAAATATAAATATAATTAATTGTAACACAAAACAACTATTTTAACTCTTGATAAGTTGTAAATAAGATGTAAATTTTCCACGTTTACTAGATTTTAAGTTCCTATTCATTAATATATTGTAGTAATTTGTTAACATTGTAATCGTTTTAACAACATTAGCTCTGGCCAATTGATCCGAGATCAAGGCTTTTTAACAAAACACGCGCACACAATCAACTGATAGATATTTAATATTAACGAAATCATTCTTACCTCGTCTCGGGCAATGATATTGTCATCTTGGACGTTTGCGAAAACTGTAGGTTCTATAAAATAACCTTCGCAACCATGTCTTTTGCCACCGTGGACCAATTTAGCTCCTTGCTGTTCACCTTCTTTGATCATACCAAGGATCTTATTTAACTGAGTTTCGTCGATTTGGGGTCCTTGTTCGGTTTTGGGATCGAACGGATTGCCTGTTAAAAAAATGATACGTTTTCGTTAAATATGTAATAATGAAATCAAATTGGTATAGCTTTTCATTAAAAAAGTTTATATTAACAAGCATATTTCAAAATAATGTTATGCCAGCAAAAAGAAACACCCGGATATTTCTAAATATGTAGTATAGCGGTGGTAAACGTCAAACCCCGTCGGACGACTTCTTTATTCGGCAGTGTCGTAACGTAGACTAAAAATAGTACTGAAAATTCCACACCTGTAATTTTGAACCAATCAAAATACGTGTTTTTGACAGATCACCATGGCAACGGAGGTATTTTAGTGGAAATTTTTTTCTCGTGGGGTACCCATCAGCGAATTATACTGGAAATTTTTTGACGTTTACAATAACAGACCATTTTTGACAGACTGGTTTTTATTTGTTCACATAATAGGTTTAGTTTTGATACATTTTAGTTACAATGCTAAGGTGTTTTCTATATTCTTCGGCCACTTCTTTTCTTCTTAATGGCGAAAATGCAGGACTTTGGATGCTTTGAATTATGTGTCTATGTCTAATAAAATATATATAATATTTAGACACTAATTTATTCACCTTTTTCCCATTCAGCACTTTGAATTTTGCGTAGTTTAGGTGCAAATATTCGTGGACAATTCGGAACAAATTTTCGTTTTTCAAGTTGGAGCCACAATCCTCTATTAATCCGAGTAAGTAAGTCATGGTGCAATGATTGATCATTACATCAGACAATTTCACGCATATTTTGCATAGCGTATGATTTTCAAATCGATTCATTTTTAAACAAATAGGTAATTTTGTTGGTTTTACTTGCCTGCAATATTCTTTATCGCAACAAAACGCGAGTTATTTAATGTTTTGAACTGTCAAAATACAATGATCACAGCCTCCTACGATTGATGCTTGCTGACGCTGGTTATGAATTTCATACCATTTTAAAGCGCTCATAACGCATGTTAATAAAAACGCAGAAAAACACTTTTCTACCACTTGTAGTTATTCAAAACTTACGTAAAATTAAAGAATATACTATTTTCTATTTTCAAATGGTATTCCCATGCAACTACAATGAGTAGAAATAAGCAATTTGAAGGCCTAAATAATTGCAGCGAAACATTTTTTTACGTCGGGCCGCTTGACAACTTCAAAACTGAAATTATATTCGAGGTTAGGGTCTCACTTAGTTACCATGACAACTCAACAATCAAGGCGACAACACCTTTTATGTTTCACTGGTGACTTGGAGAAAATAATTTGCATTGTTGAGAAACGAAAAATAAATTTTAAAAATATTTAATTTTCAACCATAATTCGGCGTGGAATTTTCTTACCGAATACCACGCGAGGTCAAATTAATATCAGGAAATAATTTGACCTCTAGTGGTATTACTAGTGAAAATTTTTAATTATTACCGGTAATCCTATCTATTTATAAGCTAGAAATAATTATTTAATCAAGCAATAATATTTCAAATCAAAATTCTATAAAATTTGACCAGCTATTCACAATTTATTAAACTTTTGTAATTAGCATCTATGAAAATAATTTTCTACGCCAATGTTTCGTGTTCACTTCAGTTAGCTCTGCGACAAATCTATCAAACACTGTGTATGAAGTGGAAGAACTGCGAAAAGCCTTGTCAACTTCTATCCCTGCTATAAATATTTCGAAAAATTATACAAAAAACAGCACGCTCATATAGAATCCTCAAAGAGCACGTAGCTCAAACGCGTTGACTCAGCTCTAGCAACACTACAATGTCGGTAATGTATCACGGTAAAGTGCGGACGATGAACATGAAAAAAACATTAGGAAAAAATGATCCAAGATATCTATGATACTGGCATTTTTCTCCTATCTCTCGGTTTGACGGTTCTGTGTTTTGTCAATCGATAACACATACTTCGATTTTCTTTAACTATACGGAGAATGGTCGCACTGCGCAGCTTTCTGAGTGCCTTTTAAAAGGAGATAGAAAACTCCGCCATTTTGAACCCTTATTACGTGTTGCCTACATATTTGCGCAATATTTTTAATAGGTGCGTTTTAATCATCCGCTTCTGCTTAGGAATTGTCGGTTTTCTTGTTTTAATCTGACAGGTTAAAACGACTAAACCGACAATTCCGGAAGCAGAAGCGGATGATTAAAACGCACCTGATATTTTGCTTGCTCCTGTCAGTGTCATATATTTTTGGAGTCACAGTTTATTGCTAAAGAATCAGTTAGCTCACTCGGACCAGTTGAAAGTTCCAAAATAACATCCACTCCAGGGATACAAATTCAGGATACGCAGAAGACTGCTATTTTATTATAGGTGGTTGTCATATATTGTATTATCCGAGTTGCGCAGTGTATAAACTGGAACATTGAGATCAAAAGTGCCGACGCTTAACGTGTGTCTTTTTATCCAACTGTTGCAGCAACGTTGGCATCGGTGCGGTATCTACCTGTCTTTTATTTCATCAATCTATCAGCGCTGTCTTTTTATCCAACGTTGATGCAATCGATGTAACACCATTCCATTAATTCAATGTATGGTTTTTTCGATTAGATGTGACAACTGACAGCTATGGATTGCGGGAATTAATCAGAATTAAGTAGTTTATTAATTATTTAATTGTTTTTTTGTGGGAAAACCGAAAAAATGAGATTTTAAAAATATATACGTCCAAATTAAAGTAAATAGGTACATTCAAATAAAATTATAAACACAAATTTTAATCCAAAATGTCAATTGTTATTTATTTCAACGGTCAACCATAAATAAATCGAATCCAACGAAAGACGTTCAAGGCCGCATCGGCGAAAAAACGATTCCAACAAACCGGTGGGAAAAAAAGACACACGTTTAGTGAGCGATCTGATTCTATAGCTATAAACTGTGTCATAGGAATCAAAATGGCCGTGCCCTATGTTGGGCGTGTCGGACCTCTCTCTTGCCCCGTATAGTAATCAAAGTATGTGATCGATAACCATTTTTGACATTATCATTTTTAACTACTAATGTTAGTTTCCATGTTTTTTAGCATTATTATCTTAAAATGTGATTACTTGCTTAAGTTATTTTATCCTAATTCCAAAACTACCTTTATGCTTGAGCTTAAATAAACAATAAAGTAGAGGCGACATAAACACTATTTTGCTTTATGACAGATGGACGCACTTCGAGTGACGGAAAAGTTTAATAAAAATGGCGATTTAAGTGGTACTTTTATTTCTTTGAAATCAATAATTTTATTTTTGAAGACTGACGGAATGAAAATGATTTTATATCGATTAAATAAATCTATTTAACAAAAATGGCTGTTATTTTCACCAAAACTGACTAGTATTTCTATGTAAAAACAACAAACATCACTACAAATTTGACACCTAACGTGGTATACTAACAACTTAAAAATAGTCAAAATGCTTATTGGTTATTGAAAATAAATAAACGCGCTGTACTCACCTACTACTCGTTTCTTGGCACGTTCTACAGACTTCTCGACAAACTCGTCGTAAATTTTATCTTCGACGTACGTCCTTGCACCGGCTGAACACACTTGACCGGCGTTGAAGAAGATTGCGTGATGAGCATTTTCTACGGCTACCTTCACGTCAACATCGCCTAAGATGATGTTTGGACTTTTGCCGCCCAATTCTAAAGTGGTTCTTTTCAAATTGTACTTCCCCGAGTTGGTTTGAATGAGTTTACCCACTTCCGTGGATCCAGTAAAAGCTATTTTGTCCACCTTGTCAAAATAAAAACATTTATATTTTTATGACATACTGCAATGGTATATCGTGGTAACCAACCTCTGTTTATGGTTGTTAAGGAAGTCATATAGGGCTAGCACGGTAAAATTTTTAACAACAGTTATAACTGAACTGTCATTATTTTAAGTCACATTTGAAAATTTGTAATGATAGAAACAAAAGATAAAATTTTATTTGATTTTTACGTTGTAAAACGTATTAAATTGTAGTATATTATATAACGTTGCACGATATACACGCCCGTTACCAGATCTCTACCTGCTCACACGGTCATATAACGTGCTCGCATGTAAAGATATAGGTAACGGGCTTATAACGTAAACTACTATTATGATACATTAACAGACTTATGGCGGTGTTGTCAATAAAAAATTTGTAGGCACACTTGTAAATGTTTGTAAATGGTTTGTTCCCACAGCGATCAGAAACATGATTATGCACAGTTGATAATGTTGGAATATCTTTTATATTCGAGGCCACTTTTAGTAAGAAGAATGGGTTAGATTAAAAGTAGAAATAAGAAAAAGTTCGCTCGAGAATTTTAATGTAAAAAAAAATGTTAGTGTTCCAAAATAAAGAATTTTGAAACATATAAAAGACGGCCCTATGCTCAAAAAAGCCAGGTGTTCATTCTCAACGGCTATTACAAGCGTACGTGACAAAAATCAGGTAGCTCTCGTGCTAAACTGGTCGGAGTGACGTAACTAATCTTATGTCCATCTCTTTCGTAAAAACATTAAAAGAGCGCAGAGCGATTCAAGCCTTTTTGGAGTAAGGGTCGTCTCTCACATACACAACGATACTAGTAATTAAATATGTAAGCAGTAGTTATACAGTGAGAATCTTAAGTCTTACCCCCCCTAACTAACTCGTTACTGGAGTCTTGTTAGGAAAATCGCCGAGACAGGTCGATTTTTGTTTTCTACAAGGTACATTTTTGTATGATTAGTTTACCCTTAATTTCATCCCTTACTCGAGGGGAGCAACCCTTTCGAAAAATTTAAATGGCATGGGGTGGTGAGTGATAGCTCATTTGAAAGAGGGTTTTATTCTCTATTCAACCATGTAAAAAATTTTGAAATTTGCTTCATTAATTCTCGACTAATTTTTGTTTCATAATAACGGAAATTAACGTAGCACACTCATCCTTAGAATTAAAATTCGGCCCTGCATGATTTCGGTTTTGGTTCAGACGTGAAGTAAGACTTTTTGCCATTAGAAGGTCACTATTAGTTTAGTTGCTTCCCTATTTTGTGAGATTTTGTTATTTTTAAACAATAAATTAACACGTAATGAAGCAAATTTAAAAATTTTTTGCACGGTTGAATAGAGAATAAAACCCCCTTTCAAATGAGCTATCACTCACCACCCCATGCCATTTAAATTTTTCGAAAGGGTTCCCCTCGAGTAAAGGATTAAATTAAGGGTAAACTAATCATACAAAAATGTACATTGTAGAAAACAAAAATTGACCTGTCTCGGCGATTTTCCTAACAAGAATCCAGTAACGAGTTAGTTAGGGGGGTAAGACTTAAGATTCTCACTGTATAGTAAAAACAAATGTAAATATGTACAAAGTTTTATCGTGCAGCGTTTGTGCATAATAAAGTGTTTTACAACATGTTGAGCTTTCATTTTCCACATGGAGATGGTTGCAGCCAGCGTCTACAGGAGACATACCATTTTGGTAAGCGTGCCTTAGGGCCGTACTTAATATTTGTGGGGGATTTAACTGTTAGTAAAGAAGAAAGTCATCCTTATTAGGACCCTTCAGCAAGAAATAGAAATTTTCGACTACAGTCTCTAATGGAGTAACATGCTCAACCCGCTAATATTGTGTTCGACCAAAATTCGTATTGTCATTAGACTCCATTAGATACTGGAGTCAAGAATTTGTATCTCTTGCTGAAGAGTCCTAATAAGGACAAAACCGGTCCAGGAATGACTTTCTCCAAAGGTAGTGTTGAAAATATTTTCTATCTCTGATTTTTTCTTTTGACGTTATTCAATATTTGGTGACGTATTAGCCAAAGGAGTTGTTGTCAAAAGAGACATGGTCGTCCATATATTGTGCATATGGCTTTGAGATTTGTTTGATGTATTATACATTTCGGTCACATTTGAGTTTGGAATTATTTCCTTTTTTTTTTAAGAGAATTTTGACCTTTAATGAATACATACAAATGTAATGCAGATGGTTGACTTACCTTATTGTTCTCGACTAAAGCCGCTCCAGCATCCCCGAATCCGGGAACAATATTCAGCACCCCAGCGGGAAAACCGGCTTCCTTGGCTAACTCCGCCACGTACAGGGCGGTCAGCGGGGTCTGTTCGGCGGGTTTCAATACGATGGTGTTGCCCGTGCACAAAGCGGGCGCTATTTTCCAGGCTAACATCATCAACGGGAAGTTCCAGGGGACGATTTGTCCGCATACTCCCACGGGTTCATGGCGTGTGTAAGCGAAGAAATTTCCGTCGACTGGAATAACTTTTCCGTGGACTTTGTCGGCGAATCCGGCGTAGTAGCGCAAAACCTTTATGGAAATGGACAGATCGCCGTGGGAGTGTGCGTATGGTTTGCCGTTGTCCAGGGTTTCCAGACTCTGGAGGCGAAAAGAAAACCAACAACTATACAAAACGAACCTCAATGTTTATATTTAAACTCACAGCAATATATGCGGAATCTCTTTCAATAAGATCGGCTAATTTGTAGAGCAAACGGCCCCTTTCCGATGCGTCCATCGTCCTCCATTTGGAGCCCCATCTGAAGGCTTCATGGGCCGCATCAACAGCCATATCTATGTCCGCTTTTGCGCCATGTTGTACCTCGGCAATTACTTTGCCGGTGCTCGGGTTGACGGTTTCGAAGGTTTTACCGGATTTGGATTTATGCCATTCGTTGTTAATGAAAATCTACAAAAAAAAAAAACGAAAACTGTCTATTAACTATCGAAATGCAGGCCCGACGAAAGAGGGGGACAGGGGGGATAAGTTCGCTACAAAAGGGAGGATGAAAATACAAGGCGAGGACCTTTTTTGTTTTCTTTTTTAGATTTCACTAAGAAAGGATCTGAATTTTTTTTGCTTAATGACTTTTTTTTAGAAATGTAACAGAAAGTACTTGATTTTTATAAAAATGCCCCAGGGCCGCACATGGCTCTCGAAATGACAGAAAAAATATTGATAAAGGTAAATGATGTAAACGAAATTAAAATGACATATTATAGGCATTATAGAATATTGTCAACATAGGACATTTAACCTTTGTTTATCAATTACATATTTATTATGATATAAACCTACAGATTGTGGTATCGATTGTAATCTTACACGATAAGTATATATTTTATGTAAGTGAACTTGTTTCATAATTTGTTTTCTCCTCGGGCCGGTGGCGTAGCGGTCTCACGCGCTTATATCCATTTATAGACAAGTTTGTGGTTCAGAACGGCTTCGAATCCTACATCAAACCATGTGAATTTTTAATTAAATTGCATGGTTTGGTATAGAATTTGTTGTGTGCCGTATTGGCAGAAATTTAATTTTTGTTGATATGACATGCAGATTATAAATCGCCATGCGTTACCGTCTCGATGATGGTGGGTAAGGTTTTCCGGGTTTTTTTCCTCATCTGTAAATCAAATGGCACCATCAATCATCTTTAAGTCGACCCGGAGCGCCACGGCAAATAATATTAATAGCCGTACCTTCCCCATACAAGCTCAATAGGCTTCAGGGGTTGAAATTCACTCAGAAGGGGGTGAATTAGAAAGAGTATTATTATATTATTATCAACAGAATTTATATTTATATTGAATGCCTGAGAATGGCCTTGATGACAGAAACTAGTCGCATCACTGAGTAAATATAATTAAAATTATACGTGATACAGATTTTGTGTTTTTATTACTCTTTTGGTTTAAATTTTCTTCATTAGATGGAAAATGATAAAATATAGAACTACTAAGTACATCATGGCATGTTACATAAGGGCTTGTAATCTAATCAATAGTTCTTCAAATTATAAATAACTACCTGTAGCATGACATGGCAGTATTGATAATTGCTAAAGTAATCAAATAATGAGTGCAACGTTTCTAGATAAGAAATATACGATAAAAACTGCGGCAAAATATAAAAACATTAATTTAATACTTTAAAATAATAGGTACTCATATATTACAAATTGTAAAAATAGTTATAAACTACTACAACACACCAATTGCAATTTTGAGGCGTAGAGTGTAAAGATGGCATTGGTTGACATGGGTTAGTAAGAGATAAAACTAACTTAATAAATAAATAAATAAATAAACTAGGATTCATAAAAAGCTTTTTTATACGATAAACGGTTCCTCAGAAATGGCAGGCGATTTTTCTTATTTGGTCACCAATAAATATTACAACAGCTAAAAAGAGCACATGATCTATGCAGAAGAGATAAAAAAGCTAAGGGCGAAAAAAGATAATGAAAATATCAAAAAGGAAATCCAGCAAATCAAAAAAGAATGAAGCGAATTTAATAGCATATTGCAAATTTTAGGAAAAGAAAACAACGAGTTATATGAGACGATATACGGGTGAGGCTTCAGCATATAAGTATCGCATGTCCGCCCAGCCGAATGTCGGCTCGGCAGCCCACTAAATTGTAGCCGAGCTCATATATCTATATATAATTATTCGGCCCGTAAGGATGCCTCCCATGCCCGGCTAGCCAAATATTAACCGCTTTCGGCCCGTTAGGATGCTTCCCATATCTGGAACGCTAAATATGGACCATATGCGGTTTCTACTTCTAAATTACGTCAAATGGTACTTCTCGTACAAGCCAGTGTCAGGCCGAGCAAATGCCGACTATTTGTGGTTTACTGGGCTGAGACATGATAAAAAGTACCCTAAATCTAAACGTTGACATTATCTGCAGACGAGAAAATGTTCTTGTTGCAAATGGATAAGATCGACGAAAATGAAAAGGTGATGATGTCAAAACATAAACTATAAGACTTTAAGGAGGAAAGGCAACAATAATATAAAAATAAAGTTTATTCAGATAAGTAATCACAAAAAATAGTACAATAATATATATAGTTTATTACCTGGAATAAACAAAAGAAAGAAACCCGCAAAGGCAAGCCTGTGTGCGACAGGAAATTGGGGAAAAATTTAAAAATGCGCACGTGGAAGGAAAAACAGTAAAAATGGGGTTCCGGAAGTTAACAAATAGATAGGAGAATGTGGAGGTGGTACCAGGTAGAAAGCAAACTGGACCTACCAACGGTCTAAGTGAAATACAAAATACGGCTATAGCAGGTAACCAGACTCTGGCTAGGAATAAAGATATGACTGAAAATATTAATACTGAGAATAAGATAACAAAAAGGAAAAAATATTCATGGTAAAGTATAGCTAGAATCCTGAAATTTAAGAGGTATCTTTAAGGCGAGGGCCTTTAAGAATATGGATTAATAAAACATATAGTCATGTAGTTATTGGATAATATAGTTAGAGCAAAAATATTGCGTTGGCTGGGCCATATAGCCAGAATGGGCAAAACTAGATGTGCTGAAAACAAGAAAAGGACTTCCACCAAGAAAATTGATAGATGCCTGCAAAAACGACTTAGGTATATAAGTTTAGAATAGCGAAGATCCATTTGGATGGCAATGGAAGTGAGATGATCCCACTCATTTTCAACCTAACCTAAAAAAGAGTGAACTGGCAGGAGGAAGCCATGAACAAAAAAGATTGGAGAAAATCAGTAGAAAAACTTAGAACCTATAGGACCTGTTGTGCTTTTATATAATAGATAGTTACAAACATTTAAAAAATAAGCTATTAACTTATCCAATGTCCCAAATGGTTGCAAGTATTTTTTAGTTTGATTGTTTACTTTCTAGAGGATCAAAGAGAAGCACATAATACGAAAAGTACAGCTAAATTTCGCGTGTATTACCAACGCTCTGCACTTGTTATATTCCTAAAGTAACTGTTTTGCATAATAAAAAACCTATGAAGTTTAGCCCATTTTATCCCAGTAAGAATAGGCCAAAATATAGAAAATTGACTAAAATAGTAGTGTGTGCAACAAGAGTGGATATGATAGCCATATCGCACAAAGACAATATGGACAATCCACTCGAGTTGTACAGTGTATTTTTTCTACGACCCACTAATGAAAATCTACAAATAAAAATTATTTTGGGTTATAAAGATAAAATAATTAATTCAAAAATAATTTATGACTTTTACTAATTTATAAAATAAAATAAACAAGAAAAAAATTCATTTCATGTTTCTCCATCTGAGATTTTAACCCTGACCACATGACCTTCTACGCGTTTATTTTGTTTGCTGTAACACTCGTAATTAAATTAAATTCATATAGTTTTATTTAAATTAACAAATAAATTATAATTATAGACGAAATAAAAATATAAATTCTATTAATTATCGATTGTACACAAGACTATGTATGTTTAATCTCAATAACTAAAAATATACTGACAATTGGTAGAATTGTTACTTATTTCATTTTAAAAATAATAGTGATGTTCCTAAAGTGGCGCTGGGAAACAGTAACAAAGCCTGCACAGAACAAGAGGCGAAATAACCAGAGTAGTTAAAGCCGATGACGCACAAAAAAATAATAGTAGATAGTTGGATGTCCAAAATATGAACTGTGATTGGTGGATTTCATTTTCTACTACCTAGAATGGATATGAAATATAATCGTTCAGTTGAAGGCAATAGCATACTTTTTCGATTTGTAATCTGTACGTAGATAAGCTAATATCCATGTGGATGTAGAAAAAGTATTTTCTACGCCAATATGGATATTATATAGCTATTATCAACATAGTACAAAACGAAAAAGTATGCCGTTGCATTCAACCGAACGAATATATTTCATATCCATTCTACCTAGTAAGGACACTGCACAAATATTAAATCCACCAATCACAGTTCATATTTTGGTCACCCGATTACTATTATTTTTTAAAAATTCTAAATAATTGACGGTTCTGTCAAACTAATTGTCAGTATAATTTTTAGTTATTGAAATTAAATATACATTTGTGTAAAAACGATAAATAATAGCATTCCTATTTTTATTTCGTCTGCATTTCCAAATAAATCACGTCATAAAACTAGATGAAGTAAATTTAATTACGAGTATTAAAACTAAAATGTTTAATTCTAGGATTGAAGACTAATAATTAATAAAATCTTTTTTTAAGTTTATTTTATTATATAAATTAGTAAAAGTCAAATTATTTTTATTAAGTAATTTTTAAAATCTTTAGAGTTTTATAAAAAGTTTACTTGTCAACTCAGATAGATTGTCCAATACAGCCATCATAAAAATTCTTGTTGCACAAACTACTATTAATTTGTCAAGAAACGAAAAATGCATTTTGAATAATAACCTAGACACATAATTTTATTTTTGCTATAATAATTAAATTTGCTTGTATTATGTAGTGTAATAGAAGAAAAATGAAAAACACTTACCCCAGAATGGATCACTTTTGGAGATTGATGAGCTGTGGGTAAGGCCTGTGCACTGTAATTGCATTTTTGTATTTGACTAACAGCTCTTTTAACAACACGCAACATTTTAATTCAAGATAATTGCAACTCAAGGTGTTTAAAATCGCACTGAGCAACGCAATCTCAACTAAAGTGCGGAGGAATTGAAAATACCTTATATAAATATTTAAAAAATAACTTCAAATAAATGGTGGAAGGAGATAAATCATTCAACAGTTTTTCATTTATCTCAATCATGATAGGTTAGTAGTGTATTTTAAATAACATATCGCATCTAATAGAATGACTTTCATTTTTCAACATTACAAAATTCATGCTCTTTAATCATCGTGACATGTACTAATTTATTTTTATGGGGGATAGTGATTTTTACAAACAATATACCGGTTATTTTAAAACCATTAACGACAACAACTTAATAATAAAAATAAATATTGTGACGGCCACCCCCCAGGCCTCCTCTTCTTTTAGATTTATTCGTTATTTTACTCTCAAATGTGTTTTTATTTATTTACCTCACAAGTTTTACTTTAAATTCTATACTTACTGTAATTGGCCTTTTTCCCTCTAGTAGTAAAAGTGATCGTCTAGTTAATTGATTGATAATATGTGTACCCACGTTGTGATAATGTTAATTAAGGTAAACCAGAATTCGATGCAAAGTTTGGTGCAAATTGATAAATAAAACATACAAATTCATATTTAAACTCTATTTTTCATACTTTAAATGTGATGCTATAATTAGCAAAGTATATTACAATTGTTATTATTTACTGAGATCTCACTTGAGTCCCGTTCAAACGCAGACCATATTCATTTGCTATCAATATATATTTTATTTCGGTTGATGACCAACAGAGTTAACAAACAGCGTCAATTCGCCAGTTGATTAACTATAGTGTTGTTGTTTATATGCTGATTTAGGTTGATGACCAACAGAGTTAACGAACAGCGCCAATTCGCCAGTTGATTAACTATTGTATTAATGTTTTATTCTAATTTAGGTTGATGACCAATGAAGTTAACGAACAGCGCCAATTCGCCAGTTGATTAACTATTGAATTGATGTTGATTTGATTCTATTGTAGATATATACAGGTTGCACCCTCTTAGGTAAATATTACGATGAGTATAGAGGTGCCCAGCAAACCATTCTGTTACATGTTCCCTCCTGTTACATAACTAAGAAGGATAAAATATACTTAGACTGTCCTGTATGCACTTTTATGTGTTATTTATGGAACCGAACACCTAAGTTCAAACTTAGCACCATAGTTATATACCATGTATATAATTAAAATATGTGTTACAAACTTACATATTCGTTATATAAATTTAATCACATAAAGATTATATCAATTTATATATCTATGTGTAATCTACATTAAAGTAACAATTTGTACTAAATTATTTCATTCAAAATGTTACATAGCGTATATATATACAAAAATTCTGTTGACCAAACGGTCCTTGAAATACACATGTTTTTTAGGTAGGTAAGTAGGAATATCTGGTGCATTATTTTTAGTAGTGTTTCAATGTTCAATGGCGGCTATAGGCATTTTATGGAGGTACCTGTGGCATTTTTGAATTTATTGTGGAAAATAGCAGGTAAATGATATTGAGTTATTATATGTGTGTACCTACTGTATTTCGATGATACATTAGAGGTGTAAATATTAATTTTTGTTCTCTTTTCAGGTCATGCTTGATGGGGCCCTGAATTTCGAGGCCGTGGATCGTCGTTAATAGCAGATATTTTGTGATTTTTATGATGAATTTGGGTTATTATATTTGTGTGCAATATTTTTATAACACATTTTTGGTTTCGGTTATGAATTTGTCCAATAAAATTATTGATATACCTAACAAATACGTTTAAATTACTTTTTTTTATACCTCTAAATATTTTCGACGTGTTTTTGTATTTGTCATACAGTGTGTCTACCTAAGTTAGAACCATATGGAAAACTTTTTTATTATTGGTTATGTGAAAAAATTTATTCTAGATAAAAAGTCCTGCATGGTCCAAAACTTAAAATGCAACTATCAGATATCAATTTTTTGGGCTGCATACGAGGTTCGCCAAAAAATATGAATTTTACCCAGGAGTAATGTACCTTTATGTTTTACAATACAGAAGAATGTTATAAAGTAAAGTTATTTTAAATTAAAAGTTATATTTAAATATGCAATTACAGCCATTTAGCATTAAAATTTAGGTTCGGTGGTTAATTAATTTATAACTACAAATAATTTATAATGTAAAACGTAAATAATCACCTAACCTGAATTTTTATACTAAATGACTGTAATTGCATATTTAAATATAACTTTTATTTCAAAATAACCTTACTTTATAATATTCTTCTGTATTGTAAAAAATAAAGGTACTTTACTCTTGAATAAAATTCATATTTGTAGACAAACCTCGTATACGGCTTAAAAAATTTTATATCTGATGGTTGCATTTTAAGTTTTGGACCGTGCAGAACTGTTTATCAAAAATACATTTTTTCACAAAACCAATAATACAAAGGTTTTCCATATGGTTCCAACTTAAGTAGACATACTGTATAACTAATACGTACATTTTTAGACGACACATTTACATACCTTCATTTATATAACATTTATAATACTAATGTTATATGAAAAAAGTAATGTATATGTGCTGTAATAATGAAGCATATTAAATGTTACAATGGTAATATAAATGTTACATGTCTTCCGATATATAACACTGTTCCTTACATGTACTTAACCCATTACATCACATATAAGGAACCTGCTATATAACAAAATTAGGTCATTTTTCACAGTAATCACGTGAGTTATTATGTAACATGTAAGTTACTTTGTTATGTAACACGGAACTAGTACATGTAAATGATACATATATGTTACATGTTTGTGTTTGCTGGATGATGACCAACGGAAGTAACAAACAGCGCCAATTCGCCAGTTGATTACCTTACTATGTTGATTTCACTTAAACTGTGTTTCAAACCTTGTAGAACGGGTTGCTTAGCGTATAGGTGTCCCCCCTTGAGCTAACGAACAGTGTATTCGCCAGTTGGTTAACTTACTATTAAATTTTACCATATTGGTTTGTACAATTTATCCAAGATAGCACAACCCTGTATATTTCTAAAATATTGATTTTTATAATTTCTATTGAAATTAGTTAATACAACCCTGTATATTTCTTAATATTGATTATTATAATTTCTATTGAAACAACTTAATATAACCCTGTATATTTCTTAATATTGATTTTTATAATTTCTATTAAAATACTCAAATTTTCACCCATCCAAAACAGATGTCTATCCTGTCTTTCGGGGTGTATGACCTGAAGGCCATGTGGTTTATTGATAATATTTTACAGCAAATGTCAAGCCTGCTCTTAAACGAAACCGGGGTGGTATCTCAAAGAAAGATACGTAAATCTTTTGACTCACCATTGAAAATACAGACATTAGATTATGTACTAATTTCATCTAGCGTCGTGGAAGGCGTCTATTTAGGGGCGTCGCAACGTTAAGCGTCGAGGCGTCTAGCGTCGTGATGGAAGGAAAGGTATTTAATACGGTACTGTATTGGGACAGATATACGGTAGAATTAAGTAGGTGGTGCGGGACGTGATATTATGAAGGAAATAATTATGGACGGCAAAACGTCGGAAATAAGGCGTGGGACGCTGAGCGTCGAAACGAGGTTACGGTAGGAAATACTTAGATGGTGAGGGATGTGACAGCGTTCGAGACGTAGGGAGTAGAACGGCAGGACGTTGGGCGTCGAGACGTTGACACCTTCGGGGATAGGAGGTATTGTAGGATAGACGTCGTTTAGGAAGAGCGTTTTAGGGAAGGTACTGATTACTGAACTTGAAATATAACTGGATACAAATAATAAATGCATGTTTGCACATCAAATAATTGAAAATGAATGATCTCGTCAAATAATTAAAATTGAATGCCTCGAGCTCATTTTTGTCTGGCTTTTTATAGTAAAAGTTTTATTGGCTTTGTGACGTCTCTATGTCTTTGCTTCTCATAGAAATACGGTGGGTGCTGCCTTGAAAGTTTTGTGTATCGAAATATTGTCGATATCGGTCTGAACATCGAAACTAAAAAAATAAGCGAGTTAAGTATTTCAACGATAATTACTTCGTAAACAGAAATACGCTTTATGGTGTTTTCTTTGGGCTGGTTCTTGGACGTGGTTATAGCTATTATTTATTAGGTGTCGTAAATAAGATTTAATTTTCTGGGATAATTTTCGTTAAATGAAGATTTTGAATTAAAAAGAATGTAATATTGTATTTAATAAATGAAATTAATAAATTATTAAGGTACCTGGGTGCGGTAGGTTACAATATCTCCCTGAATTTCTGATCTATAACGACTTGATGTCCTCCCTGAATCTAAGATTCCTACATGCAGTAAGGACTTTATATATACAAAGAACAAACCTTAAGGACGCGGTACCTATACGAAAGTAAAGATAACGATTTAACTTAGATCGTCTTACTATTGAAAATTGATAAATTTTTTATTACTGAGGCCCTTCCTATGGTGCTTCAGTATTGCATTCGTGCAGAAAAAAAATTTCTTACCCCCATTTTTTAAACTTTTTTTCACATATACGAAAATGCAAAAAATATTCGTCTAGTCGTCTGTGCGTATGTATGCTGGCACGATAACTCTAGAACGAAAGTTCTAATTGACTTGCGGTTTTGATTTTCTTGAATAATTGCTTCTAACTTAGAACCCTATTGATTTTCAGAATTTTCTTCTTAAATATCAATGTTCTTAAAATCCTCCCATGGATTTCTTATGACTTATTTTACGCATTCCAATCATTCCTAACGTCTAACATTCCATACATTGCAAACATTCTAATATTATGCACTTCAACGACCTGTCAAACAACAAAAGAAAATATAGAAAACAAAAGAAACCTATTTAAATTATAGGCTATAGTAACAGATAGTCTTATTAAGAAATTGAAGAAAGATTATTATACAAAACAAATAATGCCCAATAAAGAAAAGGATTGTG